TAGATGATTCACTTAAAAAATACTTATGTTAACAGTTACCACAATATAAATAAGGGTGAATCCAGTACCTCTGTGATGATGTCATATAAAGAAATTTCGTCGAAAAGTCTGCTTGGGATTCCTAAGAATTCTAGACTTAAGATGTCAGTTAAACTCACAAACGGTAAGAAATTCAGTAGAATAATCGATCTCATTGTCAAAATTAAGCAAAAATTAATGTAATATACCAACTGAAATTAATGGGTGTAAGATAAAAACATCCGTCAAAGTAGTCGATATGGGACCATCAGGAACAAAGGATCTGAGCTGAACACCGGGTGTTAGACCCCGTCAAGGTAAGTCAAAAAATCCCAGTCATTGACGTTCATGTACTGACCCATGACCACATTGTAGAATCAGTCAGGTACATGGAGAGACTGATTACTGAATCTTTGTTCATCGCACTCATGTAGCATATTCAACCGAGATAATCCACACATTGCAGATATTTAAGAGCTGTTCAAATAATAATGATATTAACAGTAATAACAAGGAATGAATAAAGGGCCATTGGAATATGTAGATGTAATTCGAAAGTTTTGTGATTACCTTGAAATGATTATGATTAATAAATTTCGCTTTAAATAGTATTACGCAAATATTACTGTACCTCTGTGTAGTGTATCAAACAAGCTGATCCAACCGATTTCAGTGTCTGATGAATACTACATTCATCATCATTATCATCCAAATCAACATGGAACCAGGCATTCAGATTAATGATACCACATTAGTCTGAATTGTGACATGAATGCCTAAAGTTTTCCAGTTTACTGATAGATAAAACCACTCGTTATGGGACTATTCACCTGCACCACCATTCTGCAAATCTTAGTTTGATTTTGGAGTTGTTAGTAGTGGTCAGGTCTACCCCTTGTTTATTTTCTTGACACGATGTTTTACGAGAAAAAGTGGCAGCTGTTGAGAGAGTCATGTGACATTCCACCGAAGTTTGCATAATGGATATTTTGGAAAGTAAGGAGAAACCACACAACATCGTTATTGTGCTGAAGTAGTTGCTTTATTGTTCACAAGCTGAACCACAGCATACCTGTACACATTCCAACTCCCCTGAGCAATGCATATTGGGCACAATACTTCGCGTTCTGATTGTTTTGGCTCAAGATCCCTTGGAAGTGCCTCGGGATGACTTTTCAGCCCCATCGAATATATAACACCACTTGACTTGCGGTTACTTGTTGGTGTACTGAACATCTGAAGTTATTCACAACTTAACCATCTCCAACGCAACTGACAAATGAGGTGTATGGCAAATTATTTTCCTAGGGTTGGACTACTACTTTGATGAATCTTGTCAAAAGCGTAAACTTCAACTGAAGTTCTTTGTTAACTACTTCTAACTTTAACGTGTCCAGCAAGTTTAGACTTCGCAGTCCTGAGAAATTCATGTAAAAACAGTCTTCTTTCACAGCCCGTTAGAAAGTAGTCACTTCGTCAAGTTAATAGTCTCATAGAATTGCTTATCAAAATTTTGTCACATGTCACGCGTAAGTGTACTATTCGGTCTCTCGAACAGCATACTTAGTGGTTTTAAACTCATCACCCACCTGTTGAAGTTCTAGTGCCGAGATTGATAAGCGATAGCTTCGCAATACTTAGTGCTGGAGATAGGAGTCTTCTATCTGAAGCAAACAATTCAGTAGTCATGAATACAGAAACAGTGGTTCAGTCGCGGGGAGTATTAGAAATGAATATCTCTTGAACATTGTGTTCCTCTTTTCATGTATGGTAACCAGACATGGTGCAAACGTGTTCACAAATGTAGCTCTTAGGTAAGAGTGGTTTTGCATTGTGTTGCATTTCGTGCAAATTTGCAATCTTGTGGTATCAGAATCTTATTGGAACTTGAGGAATATGATACTTGGTGGAGGACTGTAGTCCGGCACACCTTACAGTTTAGTGTGTGGTTCAGGGTAAGGGTAACAGGACCGCTGTGTTCGATAATCAGTTTCTCTATACGGTTACTACATTCTGTGATGCCAGTTAGTTTCTCGTTTGCGTTTATCGGCATTACTGTCGGAAAGGCAACGCCATCTTGAGGCGCTGACTTTTTTTACGTTGAGACTTCGCTTAATCCATGGCATGGATTTAAACATGTTATCTCATATGAGCACTGAAACTTCATGAAATAGACGGAAAACTTCTTGACTCCTTTAAAATGGCACGCGTGGATATGGGATGTGCGGACAGATACACCAATGTTCGAATTCGCTCAGAATTACAAGAGTTCAAGTTGTCACGTTTCGCAGTAGCACCCGAAGAAGAATTCAGGGAACAAAGAATGTTACTGATAGTTTCTTTCAAAGCTAAGAGTAGGTTATGTTGTAGGAAGCGTGCGCGTGGCTTCTACTTCCCATACCACACTGTAGAAGGTGTTTCTTCAAGGTACCTGAGGTATAACATGGCTTCCGACCCCAAGGAAAATGTGTTTGAAACCTATTGTACACTGTCTTTTCAGAAGTGTTATATAAGTTGTGTTAGTTTGAATCCAACTGAGGGAAACCCGGTTTCACCGGCAGTGGGAAACCACATAGCCTGGAATGTGCTTTTTTCAGTTTTTTTTGCGCTGCTTCTCACTGTAAATACAGCATCAGCATGGTAGTACCGATCATCCGTGGAAAACATGCGCCGTTCAGCCAGCATTACGACTGCCTTCTGACCCCCATCGTAACTTAGGGATCTACATTATAATGGTAACTGCTTTTGTTTTACCACATTCCAGTAGACGTTTCTGTTGTGGTTGGACCTCAAAAGAACTAGTATTCCAGTCAGAGTAGTTCTTTGGGTCATTGTGATTGCCAGTCCGACAACGACACCAAGGTGGAAGTTTTAGCTGGTACCAGTTTTGCTCCTGTTCTCATTCTTATCTCGTACTCTACAGGTAATAATGATTAATCTGATATGTCTCCCTTTTTCTAAATTTCCCATCGTTGTGCATATCTTCACCTTTTTGTTTTTCTGAAACAAAATAAAAAGATCATAGATAGGGAGTAGCCTGAAATTTCTCAGTAGTTTAACCAAACTAATAACTGAATTCCGTTCTGATAAACTGATAACGGTAATCTCTACAATTTCGCTCTGATAATCAGTTTTTTATGATCAGCACTAACTTCAAGTATGAAAAGAGAAATCATCTCACATGGTGTTTGGCGACATCAAATCAACGGTGGATGCAGATGAGTTACATCGCTGAAAGACGTCGGATAGGATTGGTGAAGGATTACTGCTCTTTTTGGAGTATCTGCTTGTAGTCTAATTACGCATTAGTATGTGCCTATGTACGTTTGCACCTTACGAAATTCAGGCAACAGCTATAAGCCTCTGTGTGCCAGATTGGAAGATGAGAAAGTCAAGTGTATACTAAGGGACCAGCCGGTTAACCATTCATCTAAACACAGCCGAGGTTTTTATAGATGACCGTAGGAAATTACTGAGTAGGGTAACGGAGGCACTAGACAGCGTATGGGAATCAGAGATAATCATGTTAAACTGATCTAGGTCACTGATCATCACATTTTATTAAGAAGGTGAAAAAACTAGAGAAAACCTATGCAAATTTTAGTTCTGACTGCGGGAGCATCGATCGCACTTGCGGTTGTCTTCATGTTTGGATAGGCGGACAAATTTTCAAATACCCGACATGTGGCATCTGTTTCAAGTCTGGATCGACTGACTAGGCGGTGTTATGTCGGTATGTAACTGAAGGTGTCGGGCAAGTATATCATGATAATCAAGCTTCTCCTCTGGGACTCACGCAACCACGTAAGGACTAACGGAGATTTGTCAGAAGTAAGAGCAACCTGCCAAGAATGCCAGGTTACCATTCCCATTTAAGTTTGTTTCAGACGTGCTGATGGATATAACGCTATGTAACTCCGACACCTTACGGCTTATTTCTCCTCAGATGAAACCTGGCTGGCTTGGATCACACATGATGTGTCCGTGTTAGACAACAAAATGCCGAGTCTTCTTGAACACTGAGTGAAAATCTGAGTATGTTCGGCTTGCACCTGTCAAGTGTAAGATAATGCTTGAAGATTAATCTACATTGACTATGCTTAAGAAAGTTAGTGCAATGATGGAATATGTAGTCTATTTCATTACCTTGGTAAATTGCACCAACCCTGCCAGGCTGGTTGGTGATGGATCCCAGTTTGGTTACAAAACGTCAGTTTGGCAGTTCCCAACTTACGTCAACCTTAGCTGTAGCCGGATCTGTGATTACTTACCTATCGAAGGACGGGTATGCTCTAGCGGAATCTGTCCTGTCTCCCTGTACAGCTTTGAAACAGCCATCTAAAGCAAGAGAACCTGGGGGGTCTAATGTTTTTACGATAAATGTCTTATCCGTATTGCTCGCATGTGGTGGAATTATTGTCTATGCAGTGTTCAGGTTAGACGTAGAACACTATGTAGGATATGTTACACCTTAGAGATTATGAACCCAGAGGAACTAAAGTCGTCTTGAAATATGTTACGCACGTAGAGGGACTGCCTAGTTCAACATGTAGTGCTAACTGAATTCGGATTAGTTTGGTAGGAAACCAGAGGTAGTCTGATAAAGACATGACATCAATTCCAACAAAATTCTGGACACTGCTATTAATCTTCAAGTATTTATTCTCCCTTCTCTTATACACTCTGAAGTGTGTGGAATGCGTTTAGGATGGTAACTTGATGCCTCGTACTAAGTACACATGTTGTGAATAATTAATTCATCTAAGGGAAAATATATTTAGATGGCTATTCTGGAAATTTCCTCCATTTGCATCACAGGCTTGTTGCAAGGTGTCGTAGATCACGATAGCAGTTTTTCATGAAAGAGTTTCTTATTTTTACATAAAAAATTTATGCGTGTATTTTAATGTATCGTTGTTTTATGTTTTGCTTAAAATAGTGTTATTAATGAACAGCTTATTGGATTTTTTTTCCAGCCTATTATGAACAGTGCTCGATCAGTCTCTTTTACGGCCGCAAAATTGCTATGGGATCCAGAACTAAACCCTTCCTGCCGGACTCTGTTATATCGGGTTGACGGTATTGTCGAAGGAGTAAGATGTACTCATTTCATTATTTCATTTTCAAGCGAAATGAACCAGACCCTGACCCGGTCGTGGACCCAAGACGTCCTTTACACTTCAGAAATCTATGCAAGAAATCAGTGATTGATTTGCCGATCCCAAGTTTCAAGGTTGTTTCAATCTCTTTTAAAGAATAACTTTTGGTAGGTTGACGTATATTACGTCGGTGAGAAACCGGAAAAAGAAGTCACATTTTCAAACTTGAACGACAACATCACATTTAAGAACTTGGAAGATATGTGTCGTCATTTCGGCACAATTATAGAGGCAAAAATCTATTATCACCCGAAGACACAACGTCACCTCGGTATCGGAACCGTATGTTAAAACATACTTTAAAGTCTTACCCTTCAGGTTGTCTTTACGTCTTCAAAAAGTGCAAGAGTTTGTGTAGAACACCTTAATCAGACGTCAAAGATGGGAAATATTATGACCGTACAGGTGGACCCTTTCGGTAAAAAATTATTTGGCCTTATTCTAATTTTTTAGGAAAAATTAGAGTTCGTTTGATTGCTGAGCAAATGTCTGATCTCCTTCCCAAACAGAATGACCAAATCCACCTTTCAGACAAGTCTTTTGTCAATTCAACATACACTAATATGCCTCCTAATTTTCCGCCACATGTTTCTTCGAATTGTGATCATGCTTCATACGATCCTACTCTGCGTCAGTCACATTCGAATTCAAATTTTGGTAGTCATCACAAAGCGTTTGAAAGCTTACCACAATCGCATTGCATGACAACTTTTAGATCTCATCTTTTTCCTAGGTTCTCTGATAAACAACATTCAGATTTGAGAAGTTGTTTACATCCGGACAAATCAGCATGTGTCCTGGATACTGATGATGTGTCAGATTTATCTCATGTTACCACCCAACGGTATCGGAAATCATCAAGTGATCTAAACATCCATGAGAAAGGTATGACTCACTCAGCAGCAGACCATGACGCACCCTCATCTGAAGTGGCTGCAAGTGTATCGAAAAGGTGTTGTAATAGTGAAGATGTAAAACTTCAGGAGTCTCAGTATTATGAAGAGTCTCTTGAAGCTCGCATACAGAAACTGCTTAAACTGAACTCTGTAAAACCGGCTTCCGAATTAAGCGATGCTCACCATAGTCCAGTTGTCGTAGATCATAATTCCAATGTCTGTAACGCTCTTCCAATCACTTCAGAAACATATTTGCCAACTTGTGTGCATAATAAACCTGATGATCCTGTACATTCAGAGAAACCTTCCAAAACAATAGCTCAAAAAGGAAATTCGCATTTTGATTCATCAAAAAATACACGGGTAGTGACAAGTCCTTCAAATCGCCGCACACTTTTGCCTACTCCTGAAGGATCAAATGAAACTGTCAAAGGACCTTTGTTTAATCCTCACCGTCCACCTCTTTTAAAAACTCCTTATAAGTCGGTGGACATTCAAGAAGTTCTTAAAATAATTGATGATGTGCATATGGTTTTTGTAGATGAATTACGAGGGATAATACAACGCGATGTAACCCGAAAGCTTGTTGAAGGTCAAGCGTTCAAACTATTTTCAGATTGGTGGGATTCTAAAGAACGGGAATGTAGAGTAAGTCTATATGTATACATATATTTAGGTCAATTATTCATGTGTGAAATTGCTACGTACCTAAGAAATCATTAATAATGACACTATATGGCTTTACAAATATAGGAAAAATGTTTAGAGCTTTGAAAATTACATCTTAAAGGATAACGATTGGGGTGCATATTCCGAATAAAAAGTGGGTACTTCAGTGTATAGTGGAGTACACTGAATGAATGATTCGAGTTTCTAGTTATCTTAATGTATGATAATCAAGATCTAATCCCATCGATTGCAAAGCCTTGTTGAAGTGTCTCAATGTGAATGAGGTACTGAATTAGATTACGAATTTTCTACTGGTTTTATAACTTTTCACTTAAATAGCTACTTTAGTTGGATTTTAAATTCTTGTACTTGCTAAAGGAAATTTTTTGAGGATGTGCTCTTTTAATACACTTACAATGTGGGTTGCACAACTAGAATAATCGTCTATCCGTCAATTTATGCACTTGAGAAATGTATTTATTATTAGTTGACGCTTGTTATTTCTAATTAGTATGACATGAGTGTTAGCAGTAAGATCGATTAACTTCATATAGGATTCAGTGTTTCGTTACGGTAGTGAAACATGGTGTAGTGTACTGAAATGGTGATATTTTTTCGCTTTTCCATCATTAGTGAACAAAATAATTCTTATGTTATCCAGGTTTGACAAGCAATTGACTTACTTTATTTAACTATTTTGGTAGCTCAATCATGCCAAACCACTATCTACCAACAGCCTGTACCAAACTAATCATCCGACCACTAAGGATGATATGTGTACTAATTCCCTGGAAAAGTCAAATACATCTCATGAATTCACTGTATTATCGCGCACTGACCAGAATGCCAGTACTAACCTATCCAATTCTTCGTCTATCCCTAGTACAATTTCATCTAATAATCCTGTATCAAGTATGTCTGAAAATAACACCTTGTCTTCCAGTTTCAAACTTTTCGGTCTTGGTATGTTCACCGGCTTGCGATCTGCCTTGCCGAAAATCAGACGTAAACCTCGTCCACCTAGTCCATTGCCACCGTGTTCAAGTGCTACTACTTCGACATCGAAAAATGAGTCTCTTACTGTTTGTCAAGATGAACGAAATACAAATTCTCTTCATGAATGTGAGTTAAAGCTGAAAACGTCTCCTGTTTGGAAATCTCATCATTCCCGAACGCAAAAGGATAGTGATACTTCATGTTCAGATATGGAAAATGATAATGTAAACAATGTTTGCCGAGAAGTTTCAGAGTCTTCAGGTTTGTTCACTTATGGTTTCATCTAGTTAATAAGGTGTTTTTAGAAATCCCCGTAACCAATGTATAGCGTGACAATGCGGTTATTTAATGTGATTTAATTATTTATCACCTCTTCAGTTCTTTGTTCTGTTTTTATTGTACTTATGATTGTACAACAAAATACTCAACGTAAACAATTAGGACGGAGTTTTAAAGAGTAAATAAGCAATCGAGAGGGCAGGGAAGTTTATTGAAACTGTTGTATGTAGGTATACACAAAGTAAGTCAATTGTTTCTGTTGGCTGGCTGTAGAATGTCTGCTCAAATCACTTCCAACTCAAAGTTTAATTCTGATTGGGTATTGCCAAACTTTTTAGTTGGGATCGTTGCACGCATTTTGTATAGTCAGTTGTATTTCTCAGTCGTTACTAGCCTATTTCAAGGATTTTCTTACTTTTTTTGTTCCAGTCTTGTTACTATCTGTTAATCCCGAGTGATATTTACCTGATAATAAATTCATGTGTGCATAATTTGTCAAGTTGTCAAGGGGAGCAAATTTGAAAGGGTTAGCAATTCATCGCATATAATAATTACTTGTTTACTCAGCTATTTGTACTCGTTTCAGTTGTTTCATCTGCACAATTGACAATCTATGGTAGATTGGTAGACATGCTATTATCGTTCAGTTGTATTGGGATCTTGGAGGTATCACTCATTCGTTATAGCACTGAATTATCAAGTAGTCTTATTTCTAAACATCTTTCTATTTACTGAAGCTTGTGAGAGGTGAATAGTTCAGGGAGAAATTTTACCACTAATTGCTGGGTATTTTATTCTCCTTAGGTGCATCTGTCTAGGTGTCTGTCTAGCCGATTTTGCTTTACCATTTATAAAAAAAGTAGTTTCCAGCATTTTTGGTTGCCATTTGATAGTGGAAGTAAATTTCTTGATGGAATTTGTTTATACTTTAATCAAACGGTATTTTCTGGTTCCTCTATAGACAATGAAAGTTCCACAGAGAGATCGAATCAAACAACCAATGGTCGTGTAAAAAATCTGAAGAAATCCAATGAATGTCAAAGCAGACGACGTTCTGAACGTTCTGACAAAGATGATAAATGTGATCGGAAACGGTCACAGTCTAAACTGTTACTAAAACCAAGTCCTTCTCCTGAAAACATTTGTACAAGTGACTACGCATCGTCGAATGATAGTGAAAGTATTGTGCCGTCGAAACCACGTCGTCCTATCAAGTTTCATAGAGGACACTCACGAGTTTCAGATGTATTTGCGCAAAGGTACAATGTTTTCAAAAGTTTATACATTTTATTGTGTTTTACACAATATTAAGGGATATGCTTGTTTTTGTCATGATATAGAAGTTACTACACTTCTCTTGAAGAGATATCTTTTTTGGCAAGTTACCAGTCATAGTATATACGGCACTGAATAATCACAATGGTTTTTTAAATCATAGTACACTTTTCTGTGGTTGTATGTTTTTTTGCAGTCAAAATGGACTAATCCTATTCCCTATAAAAAGATATACTTCACTCTTAGGCTAAAAGCTATGTTTAGCTAGGATACTACATTTTTTCTAACTATTTCACTTGATTTAGTTTTGAAATCTTGATGATTTCTTTCTGTTACTGAAACAGATAGCGTTTTTAATTTTGTGGCTGTGTGTGGTTACTAAACAACCTATTGTTGACAGGTTGGCGGTTTTCATTGACTGAAATATTAGTGGTCACTTATGTAAGCATATAAACGTAAGTAAAAATAATGTCAATCAGCATGCGTGTGCAGTTTTGTATATTTGGTAATGAGCCACATCAACTGGGTTAATGGTTCTATCTGGTCGTTCAAACCTCAGTAGGTGAAGCGGGTTCAAACCAGTGAATCATTGAGCAAAAGTTGTCTGCTTAGGTCGAATAACTGCAGCTGAGATACTCAATCGTCCTGACTTCAGGGAATATATGTTTAAATAAGCAACACTACTATACGGTTATTGATGGACACTGGCTAGTAGTGGAATCAGCTGGCTGTACCTGCAAGAATCATTGTACTACTATACTGTGTTTATGGAGCTCTGGCTCAGTGGTTTGGAAGATGACTATCAACCGCTGGGTCGCGGGTTCGAAACCCGCTCCACCTACCATGATTTGAGCAGCAAGGTAGTATCATTAGCCTCCACACAATGTGTGTGGCTTATCGCCTACTGTACGGATGTTCAAAAGGTGACTGAATGCGTTTCGTTCATACTGCGTTTGACGTGATTTCATGTGAAAGAGCAGAATGAAACTGAATACCATAACGTCTTAGAATTATTGTTACAGTGTTATTTCACCCCATATGCTTTATTATCGCACCTCGAGTCAAAACAATGCTAAAGTCGCCTAGCCTGGTTCTGAAACATCCAGGGACTAACCTCAAAGCTCAGAGAACATCAGACAATTATCATCCTCGTCCTCTCTACTATCTCAGACAGCTTATTCCAGATTAACCTATAACTGTCAAATTCTGCATCCCTGGCATGGGGATTCTACCTTCAACCAGTGGATCACTGATTTGAACATGACTTCATCTATCAAGGTTTTGCCAACCAGGTAGTATCATTAATCCTCAGACAATTGGTGTGGCTTATTGCCTAATTCACAAACGTGCATGTGGTTACTGAGTGGATTTCAACTTTGACATCATTTTTGCCTATTTAAAAATGATTTAAAAAGTTTAGTAGTAAAGTTGTTGGTTGATTTCACCATTTCTCAACAAATTAATTGAATATCTTCAGTTCACGTGAAATATTGCCGAGTGAAAATTCAAGCTACTGACAAAATGCTAACCGTATAAATTATTCAGTTAGAAGTTTGACCACAGCTGTCAGCAACGGTTACGGTATCCACTGTCGTAAAGGTTCCTTCTCATGTTATACTATTTATGCAATGGTGAAGAATATTTTTAGTTCAGGTGGATGATCTTGGTTGTATTGAGTGACAAGATAAAAGTAAGTGTTAGTACTAGCATCAAATCGATGCATTCTTAGTATCCAAACTATCAAATGAATCACATTTCATAGATTTGCGGTGTATGTAAACAGTAAAAACCTTAGTTTAAACTGATCATTTGATGTGAATTCTAATATGGGTAACTATAAAAATTATATGATGTAATTAATGAGGCATCAATAAGGTAGTAGTATACCATGATTAGGTAGTGTTGTGACCGAGTGGTGGGGTTGCGCGCGTGGGTATAGTGATACTGGGACTCAATAGACACCTCAACCGAATACCTTTACTACTGACCTCCCTCAGTAATTTCTGCTTCACTGAGCCGTGGAAAAATCAGAAGACAAAGACGGGCTGTGACTGCAAGAACAGCGACACCAACTTTTTATTAAGCAAATACATGACATATGTGTATTTACAAAACTCTCAGCAAGTGAAGCCGTTAATGAACCAATCCGATTTCTCGTATGAGGTCGAACTTCTCCAATCAGGTTCTCACGTCAGTGCATGCATAAATCACGATCTGAACATGATCTGATCATGACTTGAAAACAACTGCCCCATTGGCTGCCTTTTGTCGTCGTGATAGGTAGGAAGTCGTCAGCTAAAAAAGCCAGTGAAAGTATGCTTAGTGAATTAAAGAAGTGGAGCAACCTCTACTTTGAGATATGTTGTACATATTCAAAATCACTGCAATTTTTCCTGAATGAAAGCATCAAATCATCTCATTAATATTTGAGAGAGAAAAAACGTGTAAGTCTATGTAAAAATAAGTAAGATGAATGAATCTGTATTGCTCAGCTGACTGATAAGAGAAACATGAATTGTAGATGTTAAGTATCTGAAAAATTTTCATCACTTTTGCTCAGATGTTATTCAAGTAATATCGAATGTTAAAGCAGGGAAACTATACGCGTTATTTGACCAAGCATATGTAAGAATGGTGCATGTATTGAGAACATCTTTTTAGATTAAACTAAAACTAGGAAAAGTGCTTGTTCATCATTCCTCCTTGCTGATATGATTTTGAACATGATGAAACATTATACACTCTGAGGATTAAGCGTGAAGTTTAGGAGCTTATCATGGACTGTGTGGATGGTCGTTGTGGAACATGTTACCTCGCTCAATTGGATTAAACTTAGTAAACACCTTCCTAATTACATTTACGAAGTATTTCACATGAAATGATTTTTTTTATCTGTTCAGATCTTCGATTAAAAATAATCTTCTGAAAGTGAAATGAACAGAATTGATTAGGACTTGATTGGTTGTGAATCAGGATCTGTACATCTGGTCACTCGTAAATATTTTTTTAAACTCTAAGATGTTTGTCACTTGGTACACTAAAAAGATTTGAGGGCATCCAAGTTATACATACGGTAAGTGTTGTTTATCACAATGAAGCATACTCCTTGGTGTGTTTGCATTTCAATAATGCTATGGATTCAAAATTTCGACCTGAACAGGCTGGCTGGCATCAAGAAAAGCAAATCATGTGCGGATCAAATTGCAAAGCTATGCGTCGTCACAAAACAGAGCATAGAATGGCAGTCAAATCTTTACCTGAACTTCATCGACTTTGAAAAGCCCTTCCATCGAGGCGTCGACCGAAAAGTAATTTAGCAGGTAGCTGCTTCAACACTACGGTTTTAGTGCCACAAACCTTTACCAATCTCATTCAACAGCTATGTGATGATGAGGCTACATGCGAAGTGATTGACAATGGGAGGCTCAGTGATGCGTTATAAGTGAAGACAGTAGTAAGTAAGACTAAGACGAGGCTGTCGCCTAGTATCACCGATGATCTTCCTGATTGTGGTCGACTGGACAGGAGTGGATGATCACGCAGCAAAGCGTGAGGAGCTATGAGAAGATGAGGATACACTGTTTGACTGATGAAAAGACTCTATAAGATTTGGATTTCGCCGATGATGACTTGTGTCTAGTGTCTTTTGTCTCACAAATTCAAAGATCTACAGACGGAAACTAACAATTTGGTAGAAGAGGCGGGTAAGGGCAGCGAAGAAAGACAGGACTTGCTTCAGATGAACGTAGAGAAGACAGAGGTGATGAAGACACCCAACCAACAATAGCATGGACAACAAGCACCAATCACCATTAACAGGAGAAACCTAGAGGAAGTAGTCTCTTTCACCTACCTACCTGCCTACCTACCTACCTACCTACCCACCTACCTACCTAGGTAGCATCGTTTCAACTACAGGCGGCGGCGTCGGCGGCACAGACTAGGATGTCAAAGTAGCTAGGATCGGAAAGACAGCAAGACAGACCTTCCTGCATTAGTTTGAAACCAGTGTGGAGATATACTGCACTCGACATAAAGCGTGAACAATATCCGAATTTTTAACACTAATGTCAGTCAAGTAAGTCAGTGCTTCTATGTGATGGTTGGGATACTTGGTGCGTTACGAAAAGCATTTCCAACAAACTGAGACATTCATCAACAGCTGTCGCCTACCTTCACTCGATACTGAAGGTCTGGAAGAATAAGCAAGAAGGAACTCACTGTGGCTGGCAACTAACCATCCAAGAAGCTATCGTCCAACAAATATGCAGAAGAAGAAAGTGTAGACGAATTGTATTGGACACACACTGAGAAGAATGTTTGGGGGACATCATGCCGCATGCCAGTCCCTCGAGTGGAACCCGGATGGGAAATAAGGAGTTGGGCGTCCCAGGTGAGGGTGACATGGAAGAGATGGTGTGAGGAAGAAATGTAAGCTTGTTTGCAATCGTGGAGCTAGGTTCAAAAGACTGGAGAGAAGAGAGTGCAATGGGGCCGTGCTAGTGAAGCCCTATGTTCCACTAGGAACCCAAGGGACAAATAATAAAAAATGGTTTTTATTGCTACTCGCTACTGTTGATTGAGTATATGCGGTAAGTTTTATGACGCCGATTTTGTATGTCATTGGCGCCCATCGTCATCAGTATGACTGTATATTTATTTTGGCGATTATTGTAAAATCACAATACAGTGTAAATAGCTTCACGCATTGGTTGTTATTATTATATAACAGCTTATTTAAGTGTAATATGGCAGATACATAAAGTTAGGCATAGTACACATGTATCAGGTCAAGTGGAAGGATGTCAGCAAAAGAGAAGGCGAAATTTCAAAAACTTTATCTTGCATGACTAACATATCAGTAAAGAACTGAAGGGAAGTGGCTAAGGAAATTATCTTACATCAGAATAGACATTTCAGATTTGTATTTAGATGGAGAGACACTACCTGTGTAACAACTTGTCAAGTATTCCGTTCTAGTAACAGATATTGCCTAAGACTCTTTTACCGGTGGTGTTAAATACTTCTGGACTTGGATCAGTCTCCTTAAGGGATCAAAATAACTACTAGCTTCATCGTTTCTGCTTTTATCACGTCTTTTTGTTATTGCTAAACCTTTGGCCATAAGAGTTTCAGCTTCTTTCACGCTTTATTTTGTTTGAACCAATGAATTCCAACACTTGTTTTAGAAATAGGGGACAACCTTCAATTCATTTGTTAGCGAAACAACGTATGCCTATTCACTATCAACGTGGTGCGAACTGGTAAGCTAGTTAGAACTTGTTATGACCAGGAGATTATCAAAGCGTAGTTAAAAAAAAGCGATTACCACGGTAGATTACTTTGAAACAGAGTTTTGAAAGTATCACCTAGACAGTTAAAGGTCCGTTGTGCGCGTTGAATTCAGTCGTTCAAACGATATTCTATGTACATTTTATATCTTTCGGAAGGTTAGTTTTCTGTGGCGTTTTTCACAACCTATTATATGCTTTAGGCAGTGATTAATTAAGCTAATGATACGAGTAACCTCTGTTGTCCATTTCAGTTTTGTAGCTTATAGTTTTGACACGAATGTGAAGTAAACGTATATTGTTGAATTGAGGCAATCCGATAACTAAGTGCAGGTACGCGTTGAAACTTTAAATCACCTATACTGCATACAAATCAAGAGACTAGTGTGAACAGCTCAGTAGGAGGAGTGTAATTGGAATCTCTTTTATCAAACTAAATCATTGCTACATAAAATTACACTATTGAAGACACATTCATATTGTGGTTGTATTTAGAATATTGATATCAACATTTGAAATATCTTATGAGCTAGATGTTTTGTTGATAGAATGAAATGTTTTTCCACTACCTGACTAATGATTTTAGTGACAATATCATCATTCACTGTACATCAAAATCAGACATCTCAACCACATTTTAATCTAATCTAAATTGTAATCTGAATAGGGAAAGAGGATTCATCGATCCTGAGCCATACCATCTTTGTACGAAACTCAGTAATGATCATCAACGTATCCTCTCCAACGTTTTGGATGTTTAATGCAAATATATATGTTATCTTCAATTAGAATTTATCAATCAAATATGTATACACTATGTTGTATTCTGCTTGGTGGCTAGCAGTGGAATCCAAGATGCGTATTTCGTCCTACTTGGGGCTCTTCAACTGACCGTATCTACACCCAAGCGAGCTATGTTGTTCCCACTGAGACTCGAACGCAGAACCCACCACTTCAAATATGCGTGTACTAGTTAGTTAGCGTATAAACCTACTATAGAGGAATGGAATACAGATTGTAACCTAAGATTTGTTTGTGTACCACTTTGTTACCGATAATAGCGCGTGTTCATTTTTGGCATATGCGTTAGAAAGACGAGGTGAACAAGACATTGATGAATGTAAGTTTATCATATGAATCATAAAAATAAAGTTAACCAAATCTTAGTACATTACTTTGACGCGTTTTTCATTCTTTTAAATGGCTAATAGATTCTACATATTTCAATTTAATCAAATATACGTTATATTTGAACATATAAGAGTATGAATTTACTGTTCTCATATTTGTAAATAATCTTATTGTTCAAAAAAATATTTTTATGATAGCAGCTCTACTAGCTCTACTGGATCAAATTCACCATCTGATAATGAAAGTTCAGATCCATCAACTGAACCACAAAATGATCCCGAAGAAGCGAACAGATATAAAAAGCCTTCATCTGATGAACACTCTGAGGATTCAGTTTCTGAATCAAGGTCTCATAATCATGCATGTTTATCACCTGTTGAAACTTCTCATTGTGAACCTATACAGAATGGGAACTCTGTTAATTCAAACTCTTCACCAATTTCTTCACAATCAGAGGTAGGTAATCATTATGTACAAACTAGACTTGATTCATTACTGACTTATACCATAGAAGAATTTGTTTAAAATTTCGAGTTTTTGGTTACCACTAATAAATTCGTTAGCGTAGTTGATATGTTGCATAAAAATCACTCATTTTTTTTGAGAACTAGTGTAACTGTTTTTGTTTTGTTTTTACAATTTTCGTGTGTAGCTACAGCTCAGTGTATTCGAAGCCTTGAACTATTTAATGTTCCCGACCTAGTCGGGGACTAATCATTCATTCTAACTTATGATCTAGCATTCAACATTTCTGTATGGCTATTAATTTAAGAATTACTTTGTTGCTTTAAAAATCCAAGTAATTTTCAACAGTGTTAACTTTTTTTTGATGATGATAAGCCTGTGTAGAAAAATTATACTACCAAGGTAGGTTCTACGTGAGTACAAATTTTTCTTTTATACACATAAAGAGCGTAGAAGATTTGGATTTCGCCGATGATGACTTGTGTCTAGTGTCTTTTGTCTCACAAATTCAAAGATCTACAGACGGAAACTAACAATTTGGTAGAAGAGGCGGGTAAGGGCAGCGAAGAAAGACAGGACTTGCTTCAGATGAACGTAGAGAAGACAGAGGTGATGAAGACACCCAACCAACAATAGCATGGACAACAAGCACCAATCACCATTAACAGGAGAAACCTAGAGGAAGTAGTCTCTTTCACCTACCTACCCACCTACCTACCTAGGTAGCATCGTTTCAACTACAGGCGGCGGCGTCGGCGGCACAGACTAGGATGTCAAAGCAGCTAGGATCGGAAAGACAGCAAGACAGACCTTCCTGCATTAGTTTGAAACCAGTGTGGAGATATACTGCACTCGACATAAAGCGTGAACAATATCCGAATTTTTAACACTAATGTCAGTCAAGTAAGTCAGTGCTTCTATGTGATGGTTGGGATACTTGGTGCGTTACGAAAAGCATTTCCAACAAACTGAGACATTCATCAACAGCTGTCGCCTACCTTCACTCGATACTGAAGGTCTGGAAGAATAAGCAAGAAGGAACTCACTGTGGCTGGCAACTAACCATCCAAGAAGCTATCGTCCAACAAATATGCAGAAGAAGAAAGTGTAGACGAATTGTATTGGACACACACTGAGAAGAATGTTTGGGGGACATCATGCCGCATGCCAGTCCCTCGAGTGGAACCCGGATGGGAAATAAGGAGTTGGGCGTCCCAGGTGAGGGTGACATGGAAGAGATGGTGTGAGGAAGAAATGTAAGCTTGTTTGCAATCGTGGAGCTAGGTTCAAAAGACTGGAGAGAAGAGAGTGCAATGGGGCCGTGCTAGTGAAGCCCTATGTTCCACTAGGAACCCAAGGGACAAATAATAGTGATAATAATGTGTGATCAGATTGTTCGAAATGTATAGCCCTAATACACCATATGTTTCAGATAATCGTCGTCTTCTTAATATGCTTTTGAGATTTATGATAGGGGACTAGGGACTGCTTTGAAATTTGTATTAATAACATTTAAGATAGTTGAGCGCACCCTTATAGTACAGAGAATATAAGAGCGAATTCCATAAACAAAGTGATAAATTTTTAAGCAGAAAAATATAATAACTAATATTTTATTCTGATAAAGAAAAGAAAGCAAGTTAGGATTTACAATCAATGTCTGTATCGCCACTCAAATTATTAATGAGATGAACAGGAATTGAATTATGCAATGGGGGACATCTGGAAATCGGGTAAACCTGATTTGTATTATCAGAGCATGAGAAAGGAAATAATGTATTATTATTATTATTATTATTCTATGATTTTTCTGGTGAAGGCATGGGATTTCTTTCCATTTTTCTATTAACCTTCGAGTATAAAAGTTGAAAGGTGACTTCGTCTGCACTATTATCGTGGTTTTTCCAGAAACTGTGTTGCTTCAAACCCACATGTACTCTCTTAGTAAAATTCGGTTACTACTGGTTATTTCCCCGCTGTCATGTTTTCTATACTGTATAGGTAATGGGTTCATTTTTCCTTCATTGGTTTAAAATTTTGTTTACAGTAAAGTGTTATCTTTGATTTATTATTATTATTTATTTTGTTCCAGAGTACTTTGGATTCTGAAGGGAATGAAGAAAAATCACCTGAAACTGCAGGTGAAATTCAGAAATATCAAGCTAATACCATCTTTCAACGGTCACCCGTACGTAAGCCTATACACTCTCCTCCAAGTGAAGTTCAACGTAAACGAGGTCGACCTCGAAAGAATGACCAGCAATCTACTAAAAGTTTATCTCGTTTGAGCCCACAGAAAGATACACGTAGTTTTACAGGTTCTTTGGATTCTACGAACTCTAGTTCCGAAGATGATGTGCTACAAATGAATAACAATAATTCCATTGTAAGTATATGCTAATAAATTTAAACTTTGTTGACAAGATCTGTTGATTACTTTTCAGTAGTAGACATTATAAGTTGACAGACTTACTATAAAAATGAGAAATTGTTTCTGAACGTTTCAGAACTATACGGAACTTACATAGGATATATACATTCATATGCAAAGACCTACTGGTGGGTGTTTATTCCAGTAACCTGTATTTCGTTGAGCTTCACATATTTTCGAGTTTTGTTTAGTGTTAACACTACTTTTCAGCTCTTGGTGTATATGAAATTGATTTTACTTTTTGCGCCCTTAATCTTAAAATTCTTATCGGAAAGCTGTTCAACTTAAAAATTGATTTCACCAATAATTTTATACACTCAACTATCTTCGAAAATGAGTATTTTACCAGTGTTTGCATTACTTTATAGTGTTCACTTCTTAAGGATATCCCTCCCCACAATGGAACACCTACCCTAGTTAATCCAGTAAACCGTCAACCAAATTCTGATTGGTCTATACTGCGTGCTTCTTTGGAACTTCAGCCTTCAGATTATGCAGTTCCGTCAACGTATAACTGTCAACTGTCTGGGGGCTCACGTAGAAAACAGAATCTTGTTAGTCTGCGTAGGAACGATAATGAATACATATCAGCCGCTGACCAAAGGAATAAACTAATATCATTTACTGAGCCTGATGTTCCTCATAAGATTAGTTTAACTTCTGATCAAAAACTTCACAGATATCCTCCATATCATCCACCGAGAATTCCTGTATCGGTAAGTTTATGCTGGTTACTTTAATATTTCTTCTTGATACTGTTTTAGCGTTGGTTTTCTGTGCGATTTTCAATATTTTGTACACCATATATCTTTTTTTTTCGTGTGTACACCGTTTTCTTCACCTGTTAATACTTTTTTAGCTGTAAACCTCAGTCATTTATTTCATTCTTTCTGTTTACCCAAGAAATATATTTAGTGTAAGTTATTTTCTCATTTAATTAGCAGTTTAGTTTAATATTCAACTGTTTTCTATACATAATAGCTTCTGATACTTGTTAGCTGTGATAACGAACTGCATTACATAAGCCTTACAAATAATATACCATATAGAAATAACCTAAGCACATGCATAAACGTTGAGTTCACTAACTACATTACACTCTTGAGTCATTCCTAAGGAGAAACTTTGGTTTAGGTTAAATGAGGTTCTTAAAGTTCATTGTTTGATCGCACTAATATGAACAAAACAAGCTCTTACGTATTACTTTCCTATGATAATCTTAAGCAAAACATCACGATTCAGTGAAATGAATTAGAAGTGTCTTCAATGATCACATGTTAAGAAAAGTTTGTTAGTTTTACTAAATGTCAGAAAACTAGCCAGGTTTCAAGGATATTTCTTCTTCACTGGATCGTAGAATACAGAGACACTTACCAGCGTCTCACATAGCTGTATTTTATGATGCAAAGGCACCAATCAACTCCGTCGGCCGAGAGGTCTAGTCGCAGCGTTTTTCACTGTAAAGGGTGTCAAGTAAGTACGTGACACTAACGAAGACTTGGTCGTGTTAAGGCTTACGGTGAATTATCAAGTAAGTTGTACACGTTAAGTGTTATCCATCAAGCATGTTAACTTTCTTCATTCTTATCTAACTTTATCAAAAACTGGTGCTCTCCCTCTCTCTGTTTGACTTTACAGATATGTATGTCACATGAGACTTCTTAGTAGAGTACGCAGACGCCATAGCTCTTGGAAGGAAAAGGCACTGACACGACGCGAATCCTAGCGATTATGTTGATAAACAATTTGAGAATGTTTAAGGGGTGTTTGTCACCATTCATACGTAAATTTTGCTTCAGGACTGATCTTCGTTGATAACTCATCTGGTGATAAGGAATGAAGGCATTGTGCACGTCGATTACTTCATTTACTTGTTATAAGTCAGACCAACCCTGATTAGCCAATGACAGATAGTATGTTTGCTGTTATACAAAGAACTTGACTGACTCTTTTTAGCTTATACCATTTATGATACCGAAGAGGTACCGATTGTGTACTCAGGGTCAAGTGTACTGTGTGGCAGTACATTCTATTCTAATACATGTATGTGAAAATCGGTCATTCAAGTTGAAGGACGTAAAGGAGTTTTATGTAATTCGTTACTATTGTCTTTGTAGCACTGGCTAAGTTTTCTGGAATTATAACGTCAGTAATGTAAGGGGCAGGCGTATAGTCGTAGATGTTTTTATATATCTGCTTTGTGTGATGAATCATTTTTGTTGTACATGTTAGATGCTGATTCGATGAATGAACTTTAGAAGTATCAAACTATCTCACTCGACAGTGTAGTTGTGAGGCAGTATATGCATTTCTGTTCAAAGTTACATTCTAGCCGTAAATTCAAAAAACACTTATCAAAACTTTTTTAAATTTCTGAAACTACTGAATCTAGCTTTCTCCATTAGGCTTAATCTAGTCTGTTGAGGTTATAGAAATTATTTATAGCTTAGCAGTATAACTTTAGAGGTGGCTGGCTTAATCGTGAAGCTTTTATTGTCAAACACTGTTATTAACAAAAACCTCACAGGTGAGCTGCGAGAAATTTTCCACTAGTGGGTTAGTAACTCATCCTGATAGTCTTGAGTGTATGATTCATTAACTCAGCTATGATGTTATCATTTGCTGCATATGTATTTCGATTAACTGTTGCAGTGACTTAAACTCTAACCTTGTTATTCCTCTTGTTACTTACTAGCTTAGGTTAATATGTCTATTGATTGCTGAATTACTTGGGTACCAAGCTTCTATAAGTTCCTTGTTATTTATATATTTTCTATCTCATGATTTTCTCATTTTCTCCATCGAATTCATTTCCGAAATTATCTACATTGATGGACATGTATGGAGATATGTTGTTACGTAACATTTCACTGCTAGTTGGTGTTCATATATAAAAACAGGAAGAGAGTGACCTTTCTGTCCGATACAATGTTTTTCGCAGTTACTGTAGTTTATTTTATGGATTGCATTCGGGTTGGCTTCTTTTGTGATTGTGTCTTTTGACTTGCATAGCTTAGAGTGAAGACAATTTATAGGTTTGCGAGCTACGGTGATTTGCAAAGGCTTCAGTATTGTAGTTACGATCTCTCAGATATTCTTCATTTAATGGTACAGCAAACCCGTCCAGAGTTGACATTTTGGTTGACGATGAGTGTAACTTACATCTGATGAGGTTGCTTAGATACCTGTTCTTCCGGAAATCAATCATCAAGTAGTTTTCTTGTTACCCCATTCATGTTCCTTCCGTCTGTTTGTACAGTTACTGCAGACTTGTAAATATATTGTAAGGTATAGATTAATTATTTCTATCAAACCTGAACATTATAACTATGTACGCTCCGAGAGATGCGTATCATTAGTGAGAAAAGTCAGTGTGTCCCTAGCTATTTTCTGTTCATCTTTTTCAGTATAAATATTCTAAATCTTTTTCAAAAGTCGTTCCAGAGAGTTGATTCAGGACTGTCATGATCCTGCGAGGTAATTTTGTTTTCTGAAGAGTTGTTTCGATAGATTATCGACTGAAGTACCCGGAGGTTACAAAATTAGTCATGGACGGATGTTTGGTTTGTGTATTTTCAGTTTACTATCGAAATTCATAAGAATCCGTTCAGTGGATTTCATTTACCATTGGCATTGTTTTCTAACTTCTCCTGTTTTAAGAAGCCTATCTTAGGTATTGGTGATTTGAGTGTTGAACTTTTGAATAAGGTTTGTTTCGACTAGTTGATGTATATATCTCAGTCTATGAGGAATTCTTTCCCCTTCTTGATGTAATCATATTTGTCCATGCCAACTGTAGTGTACATTTTGTGAGCTGAAACTACTACGGTCTCTTTTATTTTTCTGATTCTTAAGAGAGTTGTTTGCTCCTCCTTGTATCTGTTCAGAGGTATGATAATTTGTCGTATTTTTTGTTGGATCTCATTATTTTTTTTCTGAATTCTTCAGTGATGACTCCAATGAGGCGAGAAATTTTTCTCCAGAAGGATCTCATTTATTGTGATTGAGTCCTTTCTGAAGAAAAAACTCGACTTCACATCACCTGCCTTTTCCTCTTGTGTTTCTCAAGGTTTTGAGGTGTTGTCTAGCTTATCTCATAGACTATTTGTTCTGTGTTCTTTAGGTTATCTACTTGATGTTTTGATCAAATTAGATCATTATCTTCAATTTGGTCCCTGTTTGAAAATGATACCCAATTTGTTTGTTTTCTTGATTACATACGTATTCCTGACATTACCGAACTATTGAATAGTATTACTGTAGTCTCATGCATAAGTCTTCATTATATGTACTGTCTTCGTAATTTTAGTCAGAAGAACATGAAGACTTGAAACTACCTGTGAAGTGTATGAATACAGCTAATAACTACTTCTATAATCAGAGGAAGTCGGAGAATCTACATGACGAAAATGCCGATAGTGATTCGACTGAATCTGTAGAAATCGAAGAAGTAAGCAAAAATTGTTTATCATTCACATTAAACTTTCTTTAGATTGTAGAAGACAAATACATGTGGCCTGAATGTTTGCTTGCTGATCATAATTACTTTCGTATTCCTGAAATTGGATCTGTTATTCACTATCGATCTACTAAACGTGTCAATAAGTACAAATCGAAAATGAATTCTAAGGAAATCCTCACTGATAGTCATTTGAATACAGTAGAGAATTTACGAAAACGTTCTTGGGACACTGATCATCTGGACAACGGGGGTGATATCAGTGGTGACGATTCTTGTGATTTTTCTTCCGAATGGTTTAAACTGTCAAAAAGGTCTAGTATGTCAGGATCTCTTCTGAAGAATGAAGAGCATCTTGAAAGTTGTAAACCCGAACTCAAAACAAGTAAACTTCTTAGAGAAAATAAAACTCAAAGGTTTACTGAAACAAAGTCTAAACCTACAAAAGTCCGTGGTTCACGTGAACTTGCTAGTCTTCTAACACCACTAGCTAAGTCAGAAATCGGTCGTGTTCTGGCAGACTCTTATAGAGTACAAAAAGAAGGTATCGAACGTGGTTCTTCGAAGTCACAATTACATTTTGAACCAAGATCAGCATCTGAAGAAGATTATGTAAGTATTTTTTAATGTTAACTAATTCATTTCACCAAATTATCACTGGTATATTAGTTTTTTCTTGCTTTAAAAAAAGTTTTATATTAGATTTTATTTATATTTTATTTATGATATAGTATTATTTACTTGGTGACATTTCGAGTATAAATTATTGCTCATAATCATATCATTGGAATTACACTCCTTTCAATATCTAATTTTGACAGTCCTGTCATCTCTTATTCTTTGTTTTCATTGGTAGTGAAAATTTCCATATCTCTGGTATAGGTGTTGCATTATTTCTATGACGTGTCAGGTTGGGTGTAAATTCGCAGAGCAAAATAATCAATTTCTTCTAACTAAGTACAGTGATTTTATCCTACTGTATTGTCTGCTTGTGTGTTAATGCATGCATTGCGATAGCTGACTTTTCAAAGAATATTGATCATATTCAGGTCTTTCAGTCTACATTTGGCTAAATTCCTATGTCGCACTAATCTAAATGATTCCGACCGGCTAGTTTGACCTATGTACTTGACCTCGCAGTCATTACATGGAATTTGATAGATTAGATTATTTTGCTGAATTGGTTCTGTCGGATTATTAAGCCAACCGACAAATTTTATCTCTGAATGAGTTTGTAGGTAGGTTTAAATGCCACCCTAGTTCCAGCCTTCTTGAGAATCCTGTGTAAAGTTTATGATGTTCCTTCCTTTTAGGGTAACACAATGGAGGGTGTGAAACCCTTTCTACTCGTGTTAGTGTTATTATTTCGTTTATTATGTATTTGTACGAATTTCTTAATAAATTATAGAGGATAACTTAATTATTAGTGCTTCTTTTATGTGCTTCAGTTCTTTGTTTAGGCTATTGCACTGACAAGTCACTTTCTAGCTCTATCATTTAGACATTTGACTAAACCTGTCTTAACTGACACTGGTTGAGATGACTTGAAGTCTAGATACCTGTTAGAATAATAAAGGGGTTTACAGCCTCCATTGCGTTACCCTATAAGAAAGGTACATCAAAAACCTGACATAGGATTCTCAACCAGGCTGGAATTAGAATGGCATTTAAACCTACAAGCTCACTCAGAGATAAGCTTTGTCGGCTAGCTTGAGGATCCGATAGAAGCAATTAAGCAAAATAATCTAATCTATCAAATTCCATGTTAATGAATGGAAGGTCAAGTAAGATATATATATATATATATATATATATATATATATATATATATATATAAAGTGAAGAGAGAGAAATTGATTACTGAATAGTCTTTGTCCATCCGATGAACATCCAACATATGCAGCAGGAATGACGTGACACCTACACCAGAGATATGGAAAATTTTACTGCCAAGGAAAACAAATAATATGAGATGACAGGAGTATAAAAATCAAATGTCGAAAGTGGTGTACTTACATTGATATGATCATAAGCAATGGTAATTTATGCTTGAAATACCATCAAGTAACTAATACTGTATCACTGTGCGCTATATGTGTCAAATAAACAGATCTAATATATATTCTACGACAGTGCCCATGTCTTAAACTTATTTGAAAGAAAGTTGTCATTTTAAAGTCTGTTATACTACTGACTAGTCATCAAGATATATTTATGAAAGTCTATCCAGGATATTTGTTACTAGCATTGAGTCCCTTGAATAACATCTCATTTTTAAAGCGTATCCAAATGATTCAGCTGCATCTAAAATTTACCTTTTCTCTAACAAGTGGAAATAATACCATTTTTTTGTCTTGTCCCATTTAAGTTTATGTAATGACGTTACTAAACTACTCAACACCAGAAGAAGAAAGACAATATTTAAAACAAAAGCTTGAAAGATTGAAATATTATCTATGAATATCTAAAAAATCACAATCCAACACGTCTAATCATTTAATTACAGTAAAAACCCAGGTGTGGATATAGATGATCTTATTGTATATATTATATCTAAGATGTTGTTCATCATACAGAGCTAAGTTCTTTGTCTTCGCTCAACAAGTGTATTTCATTGATTGATCACTAGACGGTAACCGATTTCATGTTGTCTAGTCCTGAATATAATATGACCGCTAAACTAGGAGGCTCAGTATTGCGCTGCACTTGAATAGATACGTTACCAATTCTAAACATCCCACTTCTTTTCGAAGCAATGAAACTATGCTCCCACGTAAATTACTGTCCAATAAGCAAGAATTATCAATACCATTCACTCATTTGACCCTCTCACCATATGAACATATATCAATCCTCGAATTACTCAAATTTCTGGACGGTCATAATGGCATCGAAAATCTGGACAGGCAGTAAAATCCAGAAGATCAACTCACCTGTTAAATTTAAAGTGAACATATTCACAATAATGCTATGAAACAGACTTCTCTAGTACTTCATCTAACAGTGAATATACGTCCTTGACAACGCTGCATACTTTAACGTGAACAGTATGGAAAACTCAGTGCCGTTGGTCCGCAGATTTTTTTTCAAATGTTTATTCCTTTGCACCACAATATCTAATTCTGATGGCATAAATCTATGTTGTTGTGAATGATAACACTTGAATAGATATTCACTTGGATTAAGTGATTATGTGAAAACCTACATGTTTTCAACATCGTCAGTGTGGGTTCTTCTGGTACTCGAAGCTATAAGCATAAGAATTTATGGTAAAATAGGCGTTTATCTAGCGTGACGGGCATCGCGAAGACGAATCAAACAAGTCGACTGCTTGTAACGGAAATTTAGAATTTCGCGCAGCCTTGGTGCCACTGATGGCGAGAAAAGAAAGTACGACTGAAAACGACTCAAACTTTAACACCGTATACGCTGAAAAGTTGTATTTTCTTGTTCATTTCATGACTTGTGTTATCTTCTGATGTTTTTAATCTAATTTAATGATCTCGATTCCGTACCATTTAGATCCCGTAAAATCTTGTATATTTTCCAACATATATCAATGTGGTGATGCCTGTAAACTGGCTTCTCTCATGTTAAATTACTAATATGAGAATTTACTTATTTACTTATAGATGTTAGTTAGTTAGTGACAACTAACAGAAAGGCTTGATATAAGTGTAAAACTTGGGCACTGTGGTAGAATGTAATTCCATATTAGATTTGTTTATTTGATATATAGCACACAGTAAATAATACTGTATCACTGTGCACTATATATCAAATAAACAAATCTAATATGGAACAGAAAGGCTTGTGTATATTTCATCATAACGTAAAAATCCTCAAGTTAGCTTACACTGTTAGACGTTAGCAAATATATTCAAGTGTGATTAATGTGTTGAGTAGAATTTGATGAAAACCATAACCATATTTTCTTTATCCGTTACTATTCTTCCAGGAATCTGGCTAACCGATACTTGCTAGTTGAATATGATGGTTCTTTGATCACTCTTTCTAACAATATTTATTGCATTGGATAATTTTAAGACTGAAATTAGTTAATAACATTGTGATGTAAATTGTAACAGAGATTTAAAGTTGAAATTATTCTGTTGTTTGCACAAGAATGTGAAGGTGAGCGATAGGTTGATTCCTTCAGTTAATCGCAACCTCTAGCAAAAAGCTTCTACAAATTACCTGAAAAATATGCACAAAAGTACTGTCTTCCATATTTTAAAGTGTTTTAAAAATAGGATAAAAACGAGTGAAATATCTGTGAATTACGAAAACACCCAACATATCTATCAAACAATAGTTCTAAAGAGTCACATAAATCTCATTGCACTGATTCACTCTTTCCTGTTACAAAAAGCAGATTAGTTTCTATGCTTGTTGTAAAATCTTCGTTATATGCAGCGAATAAGTAACTTCGTTTTATGTTTTCCTTTCATAGATATTAAAGAGCATTTTATTTCACGGTATGGATACAGAAGATCTTGGTTTCCTTTGTGAAGCTTACCAGTTTTTGCTAAACAAATGCCACTCACCACTAAATGCCACTTTATATCGTGATTCCGAAAAAGATGATTGTCATATAAGTACTGAACATACCAATCCTTATGTTGCCACACTTGTAAGTCTTTCACATTGGGTAGAGCATCCACCTACCCTTGTTGCTGATCCTTGTACTGTAAAAAGTTATATTGATGATCATGGTCGACTTGTTAGCTCACGTAATTTGTCATCACGACGGAGAAAATCAGCATCACGGCGGCACTACAATAAAACATCCCGTTCAAAACATTCTGTATCTAACATTTCTTCTGTTCACCATAGATCTTTCACACGATCATCTGACTCTGATGATCTCTATTCCCCCTTGTCTGATCAGTCCACTGATCATTCTTCTGATGAAAATAACATGAATAATTCTGACAAAAATTCAGTTTGTAAAAAGGAATCCTCTCCAAGTTACTCACTTCCTATACATTCATTATATGGACGCAAAACGAGACGATGTTGGCCGAAGCTTGATGATCAAATTGTTACAGTAGCTAACTATGCTGCCTCTTTAATTGAAAACATTGAAACAATTGTGGATAATGTTGATGTTCATCTTGGCCCCGCATCTTGTCTACCACCAATTCATTTATCCGGTAATTTTTGTTTACTGCTTTCACCTTGTAATATCTTTTTATTGCCTTTAGAATTTAAAATGTTAAGATAATGTGTGTATATATAGCATACTTCATATTAGGGTCAATTTCAAAACACCATCGATTCTAAATCTTGCAAGAATACTGAAAAATCTCCTTTTCGACGAAGTCATTCACTAGGCCGTACATTCTTGAATATATGTTACAGTGGGTAGAACATCCCAGAGTTATTTCCGGTCACAGATCAAAATGTATTGAATAACGGAAGGGAGTTGCGCAATACACATGAGAGTTTATAATAAGTAAATAAACAAGGGATTGTGAGAATAGGAAGTATGGTTACGTAACACAGGATTAATTTATGATAGTCAAGGCCTTCTGAAAAGCCATGACAAAGACCAAAAGTTGAACTTACCTTTTTTAGACACATAGTGCTGGTTTGAACTCCTGAATGCCTAGTGCTTCATCTATACCCAAATGCCTTGATCTCATTCCCTTTGAGTGACTTGATCTAACACTGGAGAGGATTTTGAATGAGCTCTCGAAAGGAGCTGAGTTCGCATGCTATTCTATTGCTGAGTTGTAGATGGATTTTCGTTCTCCAGGTTGGCCAGTGTTCACGAGCACGTCTTACAAAGCCAATGGGCTTCGTATCCACGATGATGCCTCAATACCTCAAGATCTTTAAATAGAACATACTCCGCCACCGACGTTCGAGTCATTTTCTCCTGCAATAAACATTTTAGTCAGTGCGTAAAAGACAAACTGAAGCGTTGGGTCACATTAACATGTGCACACCGGTTTAACTGGTCCTGTGGAGTTGAGTATATCGGTTTCACTATGCATTCCGCTTGTAAAACGTGCTCGTGAACACTGGCCAACCTGGAGAACGAAAATCCATCTACAACTCAGCAATAGAATAGCATGCGAACTCAGCTCCTTTCGAGAGCTCATTCAAAATCCTCTCCAGTGTTAGATCAAGTCACTCAAAGGGAATGAGATCAAGGCATTTGGGTATAGATGAAGCACTAGGCATTCAGGAGTTCAAACCAGCACTATGTGTCTAAAAAAGGTAAGTTCAACTTTTGGTCTTTGTCATGGCTTTTCAGAAGGCCTTGACTATCATAAATTAATCCTGTGTTACGTAACCATACTTCCTATTCTCACAATCCCTTGTTTATTTACTTATTATAAACTCTCATGTGTATTGCGCAACTCCCTTCCGTTATTCAATACATTTTGATCTGTGACCGGAAATAACTCTGGGATGTTCTACCCACTGTAACATATATTCAAGAATGTACGGCCTAGTGAATGACTTCATCGAAGAGAGTCTCTCCCTAGAAGATACTCATTTTAAAGCAGAGGATATTTTCACAGTATAAAATTGGTGCTGTTCGCATTACTTAGTAAACTGGCGCTTACTCATATTGGGTATTGTAGATGACTAACACTTTATAATTTAGCGCTTCTTAGTTCAGATTGTTCACAATTAGAAATATTTTACACCTGAATCATTTTCTGGTAGTAGAAAGTGACGTCTTTATATAGGACTAGCTGTTTTAAAGTCAATATGTTGTTTAGTGTTGTACGTTACGATTTTACGCACTCATATTTTGCTCAAGACTTTCATCATCCTGAATTTAAACAGCGGAGTACACCCATTTGCTCATAGGAGAAGACAAGACGTGGTTTCAGTGAAGGAAAATTTTCTTTTCGACGAAGTTATTTACTAAGCTGTACATTCGTGAATATATGTTACAGTGGGCAGAACGTTCCAGAATTATTTCCGGTTAGGGGGCAAAATATATCGAGTAACAAAAGGAAGTTAATGAATGCACATTTGCGTTTAGATTGAGAAAATAGACAAGGGATTATGAAATTAAATGTAATTACGTAATACAGGATGAATGTATGGCAAATTTGGAAACTGAACGAAGGGTTATGAAAATAAAATTGCGATTATGTAATACCGGATAAACCTATGACAGTATGAAAATAAACAGAGGATCATGAAAATAAGATTGTAATTACGTAGTGCAGGTCAAATCTATGATAGAGTAGGAAAATGAATAAGGTATGAAGGAAATACATGTGTAGTTACCTGATACAAAATGAATCTGTCAGACAAGGCTTTATGATGGCCATGGCAAAGATAAAAGTTGGACATACCTTTATTGGACGCATAAAGCTGGTTTGAACTTCTGGATGGCTAATGCTTCAGCTGTAGATAGATGCCTTGGTCTTACTCCCTTTGAGTCGTTTGATCGAACCCTGTAGATAATTTTGAATGAGCTCTCGAAAGGAGCTAAGTGGCCTGAGTTCACGAGGTGTTCTGTTATTGAATTGAAGATATATTTCTGTTCTCCCTTTGCCATCCAGGCTGGGTAGTGTTCACAGACACGTTTTACGAGCGGACGCATGGTACAATCGATGTAATCAGCTCTACAAGAGCAAATAAACTGGTATACACACATTGATATGGCCCAATGGGTCGGCTTGTCTTTCACACATTGACCGGAAATAATTCTAGGATGTTCTGCCCACTGTAACATATATTCACGAATGGACAGCTTAGTAAATGACTTCATCGAAAATAAAATTTCTCTTCTCTGAAACCATCATGAATTTACTCCAAATTTCTATGGAACTAACAATTTTTTTTATTTACCTTAGTTGGATCGACCTACATACAAATTAGATTGTCTTTTATGTATGTCATAATCATTTTTAAAACTACTTGTCGCTTCATAAAATTTTAATAATCCTTCAAGCATTCTCAGCGCTGTAATGAATTCTTCGTTTAGGTATTTTGTTCTGTACCTTAGAATCATTTGTAAATGATTTCGGTTATCATGTACGCTAATGTGAATGAATTTATTTTTATGAAGTTGAATTTCACCACTTCATGTTGGATATGCTTTACCAGGTTATTTGATATGAATTAGGTGAATTTCAGTTTTCATAAAGTTTAACTTATTAAGGCGACTTAGATTTCGATCATATTGGAAAAAAAATAATAAAAAAGTTTTATCTAAAATACCTTTAAATAACCTAAAGTGTAAAATTCAGACATGACACTGTATCAGCGTGCTTTTTTGAATATGACACGCATCACTTTTGCTAAGATTTGTCGTTTAAAATCATCTGATACCAGTTAATTATTGATGTTATTTCCTCATCATCTACACCTGATATTTTTAGTGATTTTTCTTATCCTCGTTCATATTCATATTTCAGTAATTCATTCTATGTTACTTTATCCCACTCTCATATGTATTTTTAATAACCTCAGGGTTTTAAAATTTCCTTTTTGTTTACATTAGGTTCTGCTCGAACACAAGGTTATTATCGAATGCCTTCGGAAGAAAGGTTTAGACGCCCTTGGTCTGTTGGCCGAAGTTTGATTGGAGAAGATGGCCGTCGTCGACCGATTCCTTTAATGCCTGCAACAGTACAAGCACAACTTGGAGGTGATGTAGCTTTACAAGGTAGGAACTTCATTTCTTTACTAGGTTACAGTTTATTGACACAAAGAGAAATATCTCCAGAATTATTGAGTCTAGCAGTAATTCTATAGCCTACATTCTAATTACAACTTCGTTAAGTGCATCGAGTTGTTATTTACAATACGCTACCCAGCACATTGCTGAGAGTGAATAATCTTAAAGGCATCACAGATACAAGTTTACACTATAATAGAGATTGAAATTACGTTTTTGATGCATCAAATAACTGATAATAATATACTTCAGTGTAATACCTCATCCATTCTGCTTCATGAATCTTGGTTAAAAGGAAAAAAATACTAATCTTCAATGGAGTCAAGGAAGATGAATTTCAATCACAAGATCGAAGCCTACTCTACCTACTCAGTTTTAGACAGCCAGGTGGTATCATTAACCTTCACTCAATCTATCTACCTCATTGCGTACTGTACGAATAAGCACAAGGTTATTGAATGCATTTCAACTTCTTTGAAATTATGAATTTATTTGAATGTTGTTTTCCTTTACCAGTTAGTCCCTACTTTAAGTAGATTGTACACAATAAGAATCAAAAATTTGAAACTATGAATGAATATTGTTACGTGTTATTCAGTTCCAACTTATTAATTATTGCTGTAAATGCAATTTTTAGACACAAGTATATGATGCCTTTCATATTTTAAAACATTACCACTCATGTGAATCCCGGTGCTAATAGGTGTCTTTCATAGAAGTCTTCATTAGGATGTCATACTTCTGATATCTATTTCACTACTTCAAGTGATAATTAAAACAATTGTATTGTTTAAAAGTCTACACAGACATGGTTGGTTGGTCCAGTTTTTTGTCTACCGACCATTAAATCATAGGTTCAAACTGTGCACCTCTAGCTTTTGGCAGCTGATTAATATCATAGACCTTCACGCATTAGATGTTCTCCATGGTGCTATAGTATGCAAACGCATACCAGTTTTTTTGTGGGGCTGTGACTCAGTGATCCTTTAGAGAGATGACTGTCTGCCATTGGGTCATGGGTTCGAGCCCCAGTCCACCTCCTGAGGTGTAGGCAGTCAGGTAGTATCACTAGCCATCACATAATAGGTATGGCTCATTGCCTATTGCATGGATGTGCACAAGGTGGCTGAGGGCACTTCGTTTACAAGTTTTTCTTATGATATCTGCATTACTTATTATGCAAACATGTTTTAAGTGTGCAACAATTTAAGAATAACATGATGATAAAGTATGTAAATGACTAAACTACTCTGCATTCTTTCATCTTTATATTTTCATGTGTTTCAAAGTCTATCTGAAATGAAAGTTAACCAAATATCTTTTTTGCTAATTCTTAGCTTACTTATCAAGTCAGGTTTTCTATTTTTTTAAAAAGTACATATGAGCTCACATACTTTTCAGTTGCTGTATTACTCTCCATTTAATCTTCATTCCAATGTGAAGAATGAACATATACACCTTAAAAAGAATATCGTTAAGCAAATTTATTACAACTCAGAATAGACATAAGTTAGTTGCCTAGTAGATGTACTCAGCAGTCATCTGTTTTGAGAAATAAGAGGGAAGTAAAAATAAAGTCTTGAAGGTATCATGGTGGAATATTATACCAATCTATAGAATTACTGACTGATTTCTATCATGTGATGAAATACAGGTAGTAATGGAGGGAACGTTGTTATCTAGTAGCCGTAAAATACACACATACACACATGCCAGCAACTGACTACAATAACATATTTGTCTGTGTTTCTCTCCGAATTAAGACTGTATCTACATTTTCTAACTAAACATAATGCCCTTCTATTACGTAAGCAGTTTTGGTTTCTGGGATGTCAAGTACACATAATGAATTGGTGTTGATTAAACCTGATGACAAGTTGAAGATAGTTGAGAAACTATATGTTTGGATTTTAAGATGTCAACTGTTATGCGTAAAATATACGTAAGACAAAAAGTCCACACTACCATTCTACCACTTACCTAGCATTTACTACACGTTACATACAGTTTTTGCATACGATCTGTTGGTAGTGTTATTGAACTTTTTTCATTTATCGATCTTTGGGTTGTTTAAATCACTGGTGTAACGAGTTAATAACACTGCTTTTATGTGTAGTTTCATCCTCCAAGACTATTTGTAAGACTAAGTATACTTATTTATTAGGCATTTTTAAAAGTATATATATATATGACTGATTATAACTGTCTGCGATACGCACCATACTCCATATATGTTTGATCGCTTCCTGTTGTGTGTAGTCACATCGTACGTATGAACTGTGGTAATGCACAAAGAATATATATAATAAACACAAAATTTCCCTGGAAATGTAATTAGTAATATCCGCTGTTACATACTCGATGTCACCAAATATGCATTCAGGCGGGATAACAGTCACAATTAAAAAACAGCTCAACGCTTTGATCAACAAATACTATTTATACTACTTATTTAATGTAATAATTCTTCACCTTGTTCCTCTATGCCATTTGCTTGCTGTCCATCTTGTTATCATACACAGCATTAATATACCATGCCTTCTAAGGGTTTTTCTGGAATGACACTTTCAAAGTAAAATATTTTTAGGGTGTGTCTGTATTTTAACACTGGTGTTTAAACTGTAAGTCTGATATTATTGAATAAATAATAAGCCAATCAAACGATATGACCTTGTGTAACCTGTGATTGTTGCATTGGTTTTAATATGTCCTTAATAGACAACCAATCAAACTGTACTTTTGTTACGGGTGCGTAGGCGGGCAAGTTGTAGATCCGTATCGATTCCGTGATGCGTACAGAAAGATTTACTGTCTACTACTACTACTATCGATTTTATGAAAATCAATGTACAGCCAATGTCTTAAGTCACATTTAACTGACTGAATTTTCATTTTTCTCAGCGAATCGGGTCGATAGCATGTTTGGTAGCGATTTTGTAGTTGTATCCGCTTGGTGGTTTGATGTTTTCCTTTTCAGTCCTCGCTTCACTAAAAGTGATTCTTGGGAAACTAACTATAGTATCACTAAAATGGATAACTTGAGTCAGCAACGAAGGCGGGTTCTTGTTAACAAGTTTAATATTCTTGACTATCAGGAAGAAACATTTTCCAACAAATAGTCCATAGCTGATAGTCCAGTCATTTGTGTTTTATAGGTAACATAATCAATATTTTTTCTGGCTACCTAATGTTAGAACACTTTCACTTTGTTTAGTATAGTTCCCATATTTGTTTCATTGCATTGCGCCTATATATAGTAGGTAATAAGCAAGATAGTGTTGCATGACTACATCCTGGATTTGGTTCTATTCTCGATTAAAGAGAGTTGTTGTGTGAAGTAGTTGATTCAAAACAGAATTTTCTTTGAATTCTTAACTGTTTTGTCTAACAAGACGTTCATCTTTTTGATCAAAGTTACAACTCACTAACTGAAGTGTAAGGTTTAGACTCTTCTTTATTCCACTTGGTTATGATGTATGCCTTAAACGGGATAGTATGTGACCCAATGCAGTAATTAATTACCTGAAGTTGCTAAACGAAATAGGGGAATTCGAGATGTAAGCGAAGTTATTGTGATATGCTGTTTAGTGTTTATTATAAGATTATGTACGATTTGATATATAATACTGGCAACGATTTCGAACCATATATTCCTATCAATTGGTTTTCTATGTCTCATAAACTCACAGGTAATCAAGTGTGCAATCCCTTAGATAACTTACGGCAACATTCGATCGGTTCATTGGTTGATACTAGATAACCTTTTATTATGAGCATATCGAGTAGTTAACAGTTATTTGAGTGGGATTTTATACTTCCTTTGCTTTTTTTTCCAATACTAATATTTACGATTTAGCTCTTGGTGAAAATATTGAAGAACGCCTAACTGAACAGGCATCAGAAGCCAAGAAAAAGCAATTAACACAGTTTCGAGAAGCTCGTTCTGTTCAACGTCGACTTCTAGCTGAATTTCAGGATATAGAAACAGGCGATTTACTTAAATTTAACCAGTTGAAGGTAATGTTATTTTGTATATCCTTTAGTTCCTAAAATAAAATACTCATATTATACGTATTTCAGTTAAACCGTGTTTTTCGTCGGGTATATATATATGGCCTATCGGGTTTCCATATCTTTATCGATTATTTTATGTTGCTGGTAAAATGTATTAGTAACAAAACAATTTATTACCATTTATTGATATACTTGTAATTCTCCGTTGTTTTATTGGATCGAATTGTTCGACTTCTTTATTGGCATATGGGCTCCTATGCGGATACCTCGATATTGCCTGAATGTTAATTATGGTAATTTGGTTGGTTGAAGAATCCAGGGTGCGCGTTTCGTCCTGTTCGGGACTCACTCGTCAGCTGGATGTACCTACACCCCTGTGCGGAGTGTTGTTCCCACTGAGACTCGAACCTCGTACACATCACTTCAAACGCCGAGGGGTTATCCACTATGCCACCAACCAAATCACCATAATTAACACCCAGACGATATCGAGGCATTCGAACAGGAGCCCACATGCCAATAGAGGTCAAACAAGCGATTCTGTAAAACAACAAAGAATTACTAGTATATCGATAAATAGTAATAACTCCTACCCGTTGTACTAGGAGATGCTATCGTTCCTCCGTGCCATAGTGGGAAAATACCTTGGCGTTTGAGGTGATGGGTCAGAGGTTCGAGTCTCATTGGGAACAACACTCACTGAGGTGGAGGTACATCTGGCTGACGAGTCTCGACTAAGACGAAACACTCGTCCTGGATTCTTCTGCTAGCCGTAACTAACCAAATTACTATGAAACAATTTACTATGCTTTATTGATCTTCTATGAGACTTATTAAGTACAAGTAAATTCAGACACTAAGGTGAAGTAATTATATTTGTTCGCAATATTTATACTGTGAGTTTAAATACTTATCAGTAGGTAATTAGGAATAATTGATCTGCTCATTGTTATCTCTAAGGTAGTGAAAAATGTTTCATTTCATATGTTTTGTTAGTTTTTTTTCTCCCTTGCAAAAATTGGTCGGTTCTATCGTTAGATCCACCTATTAGTGTCCTTTTCTTTTTGAATTTTAGTTATCGGAATTGAAAATAATAAAATTTATCTTAGTGTCATCAGACTTGAAAATCTGTACGAGTACTTAAGTTGCGGAATCGCAACAATGACAAGCATAGTAACGAAATAACCCAGCGTTATGCTGAGTATTTTGCTTATCACTGGTAACTGACGGGAACTAAAACTATCTTTTTTTATCATACGCCAATTTATTTTGCCTTTACAGCATACTTTCTTCAGCTAACTAGTGAAATATACAATATAATGATATTATTATTGTACTGATCAGTCGATGCACTACTACTTAGCAGTAAATCATCTGAGTTATCTGCTAAAACAATTGATCGAACATAATTACACTGGATTGTAGGCTTGCTCAAATGTTATCTTGTTTAGAGCAGTTGTCCATTATGCCAACCAATAGTGTTACTACAAAACTCACTTTATACGGGTGCTATTCACAGTGTTTTATTTTTCAATATGAATAGAGAAGAAACAACGGCTGGTACCATTTTATTTTCATGGTTCCTCATCAGCTGCGTACAACCTAAAGACATTTAAACATCATATTACAAAAGAATTGGGACATAGTTTCTTCTCAGTTACATGAAGTTAGTCAGTGGGAAACAGCATGGTCTGACAAAGAATACAAACATCCAAATAAAGTTAACACGACATGCTAAGAATTTGAAGTTATATATTTGCCTGTCAACAGACAGTTCGAAGAAAAGAACGTGAACATTAATAGAGGATTACGTAAGGAGGTTAACAAGTCGGCTAGTGATGACAAAGAACAGACAAATTATCTAATCATAAAAGGAGTTGAACTTAGTTGGTTGAACAATCGTTAGAACTGGGCAAAACACAGAAAAGGTTCAGTCGAAAGGTGATGTCATCAAATAAGAGGAAGAGTAAAATATTAAGTTACTAGGGAAAAGAAAGACTTATCACGGCTTCTTTTGAACACGCACTTTAGGTGTTTCCGTCGTTTGATCGCTACAGCCTCAGCAAACGTCAGAAGTTCTAAATTACGTTGTTCGTTGATTACTTTTAAGGTTTTTGGGGTATGCCCTGTGTCGATGAAATACCGATTAAGTGCACTACTGAGAGCGCTTGTTTCCCTGAGACGCAGGTCTTTTGGTACGTGTTAAAAGAATCTAAGGTATGCCATGTTCTGTGTCCTCCCGATGTAACTGCTACCGCAGATATACATAAACTTGTTTACACAACCGGAGGTAACATGGGTTGTACGAAGGAGCATGTTGTTCTGTAGAAAGGGATCAGCTTTACTGCTGGATATGCTCTGTTCAATGCGCCTTTCAGCTTTCTTCCAGTGACATCATCCATTTTAAAGTTGGGTTCAGTATTGCGGCGAACTATAATCACAGCAAATCGATCAGTTTCTAACAGCATAAAATCTCTTCCTGTTATAACGTGTTAGTGGCATCCTACATAGTAATTTATTCAACCTATCTCTCTAATAACTAACACCTATAACTTTAAAATGCAGCATTTAGAAGGTAAATATTATAGCCTTTGTCTTCCGAATGCAGGGGAAAACTTAAAACTGATTTGAAGAATTGTTTATAAATTATGCGAACAGATTATAATTGAAACATGCTAATTGTGTTGTATTTAACCTAGAAATAATGTCATAGGTGTAAACCATTTTACATTTAGAATGAATGATAACTTTTCAGTGTGAATCCTTGATATTTGTATATCTGACAGCCTTGATGTTTCATGTCATACTCTTTATCTATGTTGTTTATCTTGGGAGTGTTTTAAGCAGTAAAATACTAAATGACAAGTTAATAACGAAACACTTGTAAACATAAGTCAAGATGATTTACTCATTTGTTGTTTCAATGTGTTACAAATATTTTCATTGTAAGGGAATTCAATGGATTCAATTGTTTTCATCTTAGTGATTACCAGGGGGGGGAATTCAGGACACGTGTTTCGTCTTATTTCGGACTCATCAGTTGGATGTATCTGCACCCCTGTCAGTGAGTGTTGTTCCCACTCAGATTCAAACTTAGCACCCATCGCTTCAAGCACCTAAGCGTTCTTCGTTGGGGCATGGGAACCACTTCTTGTGCAACAGCTATCAACTGTTGTTTATTGATACTTTTAATCTCCTGTTGTTGAACTGGGTCATTCTCTCTAGAGAATAATTCACAAAATTTCATACTTATTTTTATTGAATTCATCCTTTTTCACATTGACTCGACTACTTGCAAGTGTAGTTTGTATCTGCATTGGTCATAACCGCACTCATCTTTTTTCTCTGAAAGTTATTCTTAACTAAATCCTGTCATAGAAAACTTTTTGAATTCGCTGTTATTTTCAATCGAATATGCATAGGCATTTTGGCTTTCTGAGTTGAAGTATGTCAGTTTTGCGTTTCTCACTTTATATAGTAACTGAATTGGCTATGCAATATAAAATAGACTAGTATTTATTGTCTTTCAAATAAGTTATGGTTTGAATGAGATTTCAAACAAGCAGTCGACAGACTCAAGCGAAGCAGTCAATTAGGACAGGTAAGTTATAAGTACGAAAACTAAGATATAGGAGCAAAACTTGGGTACTGTGGTAGATTGTAATTCCACTTTAGTTTGTTTACTTGAAATGTCACACAGTGAAAAAACAGTATCATTTACTGGATAACATATCAAACACAATTTGTTGTCCATATTCATATCAGGTGACTTCACAACTCCGAGACAGACTTCATATATTCCTAGTTACCTCTCCTTCTTTGTAATGACAAGGGTAGTAGAATTTTCCATATATCTGGGACAGGTGCAGACTCATTTCTATTATATGTATTCAGTGTTGATTCGATAAACAAACATTCAGTCGGTTATCAACCAATCTCTACCTCCACCCAAATAAGTTAGTTTTCAATACTGTCACTCTATCTCACCCTACCGTGTGTTTGTGTTTAATTACGTGCAGAGATATAGCTGAGCTTTTCTCTAAATCCCTTATCTTATTAGGATCTACTAATCTTGATTTATCATTTGACTGAGATAGCCTTAGTTTAGTAGACTAGTATTTTATACTGGGTGATGATTGAAGGTGAGATGAAAATCCCGCCGCGGTCCAGATTTTCATCTCACCTTCAATCATCACCCAGTATAATCTTGATTTAGCTGAGTTTTTGTGCTGTGTTAATCTAATTGCCCCTGGTCGACTACTTTGACCACACAATCAGTGGAAGTAATTTGGTAAACAAAATTATTTTGCTCCATTATGTCAACAGAATCTTTTAACCTAGAAAGCTTGTTTCTGAGCGAGTTTCTTCGTTTTAATGCTAATTTAATCCGAAATGTAATCCAGTGAGTGATACTGTTTCACTAAGTGACATTTTTAATAAACAGACTAAAATGGAAACTAAGATAATTGTAGAAATTCTATGTGATATGAGTGCAATAAGTTAAAAACAGTAAAATAGTTCATCAATACAACGAATAGTCAAGAAAACATGACTTAACCTACAGATTCGACTTACCAACCTATCTTGGTTTTATGATGCTTAAGTTAGTACAGAAGTATATTAGTTAAGGGTGTTGTACTTCATAGCAAGCTGCATAAAAGTACTAGATATGAAAGATTGACATTTAAGTGGACAAAAAGAATTGGAGGAGGTAGAATAAGTAGATAAAGGTTCATAAAAGTATTCGAAATTTTCCAGTGTGTCGAGGAATGTATAAATCTTAGCCGTTATGATCGATTTTGAGCCATATCACCTAGATTCTTAAACCATTGGTTAGTATGATCTCAAGGACATCCCTCAGACAGACATTCGATATTTTCCTAAGCCACTCAGACCAACGACTTCACAGGTTGGTACCATGTCTTATTCCGACTAATCTTCACCTCCTCCCAGATAAATCCTACTTCAGTTAAAATTACGTTTCAACGTAGGTGATGGTTCGATATATGCAACACTTCTAAATCTACCTCTATCCATGCAGGTTAATAACTTATCTTTCTTGAATGGTACTCTTCTCTTAACCTGGACACTGCCCAATTATTGATTCCACCATACTTTAGTAATGTCGTGAAGTTATCTACGGTTAAAAGCTTTCAGCCTCAGTCCTACTTTCTTAGCTATAACTGAAAATAGAGCAGTACTCTGGTGCCGTCGGTATGGGTTTATAACTGGATTCAGAGAAAACGAACCAAAATCAAACTTCCAAGAATGCCTTGCATAACAAGCTTCAAGCAGATATCCGATGGGCTCCACGGTCACGCACCACTATTACTAACCCCGATTTCCTTTTCAGGTGCCTAGAGGAAACGTAACCTTCCATATTACGGACAGCGGGAAAGTGTTGACCACCCTTACAACTCTGTCAGCACTCACCATAGAATTTAGGCATAGAGTTTTGGGCAAAAGAGGAATGTTAAATGATGATGTGAATCTTCATCGACTGAGGTGGCTGGGACATGTCTTACGCTTATGTAGTCATCATCTTCTCCGTCGCATACTGTTATTTTAGGTAGGTTCAGGCCTTCGAAAGGTCGCAGGAGATCATGTAAAAACCTGTCAGCAGTCTATAAAGTCGCTGACTTTTAGTCTGAGCCACGTAAGGGAATGTAAGCATCTTTTTTGGAGTTCACGTGACCACAGAAACTAGTGGTTGGAGGTCGTAGGTGATATGCCTCAAAATCGATCTCAATCGTAAAGATGTATCTACACATTATCCTAATTGTCATACTGAATCTACGTTCTCTCATTCTTACTTGCTCTCTTTTGGTGACTTTTTGACTGCTGCTCTCTTTATTTCTTTGTATTTCATCTTCGTGCATTCCCCCTTGATGTGTTGATATGTTCTGGCAACGTGGGCCGTTACGTAGTAATGTTTATTGTGACTGGCTAACCGTAGGACAAAACGAATTTGAGCCAACTACATGCTTTTAAACGGTTGCCTACCTCTTGATTACGCCTTGAAATCTCCATTGAGAATATTGGACATAGAATATCGACATATATATATATATATATATATATATATATATATATATATATATATATATATAACAGCTCTAAGGAAAATCTTTTGATCATATTTCAACATGGTTTCTGAACTGACATCATAAAAATAAACACTAAACACAAGCGCTATTTCCTTTCTTCGCTCGTTTATTTTCTTCCAATTGAGATTGAGCTTTTTTCGAACAAAGAGTCTCTTGTCTTTTGAAATATATTTCACCTTTGGAACTTCTTTATAGTATACCTATTTTGGTTCAGTTTTTGATATGTACATTTTCAAAGTTTTCTGCCAAGTGAAGAGCAATCCATACACTAAAAGCTAGATGAATGTGCTCGTTTTCCTAGTGTTTATTGGTTCAGAGTTGATCATATTTTTCTTGATTTGTATGTAATATAAACTGAATTTCTCAATTGATTTCGTTTCACATTTTAGTTCCGTAAAAAGCAACTTATATTTGCTAAATCACCTATTCATGCTTGGGGTCTTATCGCTTTGGAGCCTATAGCCGCTGAAGAAATGGTAATTGAATATGTTGGTCATGTGGTTCGTAAAGGTGTAGCCGAATTACGAGAGCATCAGTATGAAGATAAAGGTATCGGTGGTTCGTATCTCTTCCGAATTGACGATGATTTTGTGATTGATGCCACGATGTGCGGTAATAATGCTCGGTTTATCAACCATAGCTGTCAGGTATGTTTAGATTAATTGTAAATCTTTATTTAAATAGGTTTGAATGTCACTACAGCTCAAAATGTGGAGCTGTGGCTTAATGGTTTAGGTCACAGGTTTGAAACCGACTCCACTTACCGAAGTTTGGACAACTAGATGGTAGGCATCATTAATCCTCACACAATCGATGTGGCTCATTGCCGACTGCACAGATGTGCACAAGTTGGCTGAGTGCGTTCCATCTGGTTACAGTTCAAAATAGTATTAAGTTCACACATTATGTCTATTGCTTTAATACATCTATATAGTTCTTAACACTTTCAAGGATAACACAGTGTGCGTAGTTCTCTCTGTTTGCAAACAGCTTTGAAATAAGTCTTAGCATTTTAATATTTACAAAGTTAACAGTTCTATTGCTCTTAAATTCACGTTTTACGAAATTATGCAACGTTCAAAGTTATTTTCGTCTGAAAATTCTTATTTATTCAAACTATTCATGATAAATACTGATAAGGATAGGTGATCCAGTGTAAAGTGTGTAACATTTTGTACTGTTGGTGATAGAGCCAGGGAATGATATCAATTTAGTGACAAACCATTCACTGGACTCGTTATTGACGATACTAGAGCTTATATTTGTGAAAGGGATTGGTATAGTGTGTAGTATAAACCACTGTTTATTGCATTTGAAAGAAAAATACATGGTCTTTAGATTTCTATATCTTTCATATGGTTTATTGAGTGGTTTTATCCTATCATTAAAATTCATCTTGACATAAGTGAACATAACATGCCACTAGTTGATCTCTAATTTATTATTCTTTTTGGTTCACTTCAACACTCTGGATTTTAAGAATTAATTTTTCCCAAGTTTTATATCTTCCTGTTCTTTGAAGCGTTTAGCCGTTTAGCGAGTAATATGTTGATTTTTCTCAAGTGGATAATGAATGAATCGCAGTATTAGCTATTTCTTTATCGTCACCTTGTGGTGTGGTTAGAAATAGGTTTAAATAGCATAATTATAATAATTATTCAGTTCATATAAGCATTGTGACGGTGTAGTAAAGTTACTAGGCGCTCGAGAAAGCCGTCAAACAATGGAATTTAATAAAGATAGTAGTAATAATAGGCTTGTTTTATTCCCAACCCTAATTCAGTTCACAGTACAGAATTCTCAGCAGGTAATATTGTATCAGTTTACCCATTGTACAACATTTTTCAAATATATGTTAACAAAAGTGCTGGTTAACAACCTATAATAAGGTATAACAAGATTGTTGCCATCCATCCATCCAAATCAACATAGGACCAGGCATTACTACGTAACGGTCCGAGTTGCCACAGCTCATATCAGTGCATCAAGTAACAAGGCGGTGAGGCGCAAGATGAAGATAAGAAAATTCAGTCAAAAGAAATATAAATTACTAAAAGAGAGAAAGGAGGAATGAGAAAATGGTGAGACTCGGTATAGCGTCGTTAAGATGAGGATAATGTGTGTATACACCTGGACCACTGACATCTGTTCTGAGCCATACCATCACCTAGAGTCTCCAACCACTGGCTCCTCTTGTCCCGCGGACCCCAACCATTTAGTCTGCATCGCCCCACGTGGCTCAAACCAAGTCAAAGACTTCATACATTGGTGCCATGTTTTAGTCTGGCCACCTCAAACCTTTTTCCAGCCTGAACCTACTTCAGCCAAAATCGTATGACGAGGCAATCGGCGATTAGGCATACGTAATACGTGTCCCAACCATCTCAGCCGATGAAGGTTCATAACCTCGTCAACTGATTTACCTCTACTCCCTAAAACTCTACACCTGACTTCTGCATTACTCACTTAGTGACACCACGGGATACGGCCTATACTACTAAGGCAACGGTGGTCGAACACCTGAAGCCTTCTCATGTCTTCCATTTTCAATGGCTATGTTTCACAGCCATAGAGTAGAATAGAGCAGACTTCTATGCAGTACACGCGACCCTTAGTAGACAAACGGATATCATGGCGGCGCCACAGGTGGCGTAAGTTGGCAAAAGCCAGTTGAGCCTTTTGTATCCATGCAGAGATTTCACCGGCCACTGAGCCAAGAGGGCTAATCCTACTTTCCAGGTAAGTGAAGTGGTCGACACACTCGATGACTACACTCTCTACTGTTAGCCGCGGTGGGGCGCCGTTGAGGACCAATCCTGGAGCAACAATTTGCGTTTGGCTGGTGAGAAAGGCATTCCAAACATTCTCAAATTCCCACTCAAAGTGTTCAGAAGACTCTGCATCTTGTCAGCGGCTTCACCTAACAGGACTGTGTCATCTGCATATTCTAGGTCTAACAAAAATTCTCCTGTGATTAGATCAATCTCTCTGTAGTCAGGTTACGAGAGGGAGATCTCCATAAAAATATCTATGATAAAATTGGATAAGAATGGAGACAGTGGGCACCCTTGATGGTTATCACTAGATGAGTACAGCTCACTGGACATCTCTATAGGCTCTAACATGCCCACAAGTGTTCGAGTAGAGAGCCTTCAATAAAGTGATGTACTTACTAGGCACGCCTTTCAATGAGAGACATTGCCACAAGACTTCTCGATCAGTCGAATCGAATTCGCCTTCAGGTCGGCAAATACAGCTATTGTCGGGCGTCTGTAAGCGTGCCTATGTTCCAGGACCTGCGGCAGTGTGAATATTTGGTCGATACACCCGCGGCCGGGTCTAAAGCCTGCCTGCCTAGTTTTCTCAGGCTTGCTATTGCAATGTCCAATGACTTCAAAGTCACGTTAACTGTTCACTGTTGCAAAGTTGATTGATAAGACTAATTCTAACATGACTTTCTTCATATAATACATGAGCTTAATAAGGTATAATTGCATTTTTGCGTGTAGTTGTGCGTGCACAAAGTTTAATATATTTGATACTGGGTGATGATTGAAAGTGAAATGAAAATTTGACCTGAATACTACTGGTCTGACAAACCACAGCTATCTCAGATAGTCAATATGATAATCAATATGATGCTTCTCCTCTCTAATTCCAATAGATTTGAATTGTGATGAGAAGTTCTGACTAGGCAGCCAGTGTGGGTTCGATCGATCGGTGATAACGCGTCACAAATTCACATGGTAGTCAAACAAAACCCTTTTGGCATTGAAGTGAAATAAAAATGTGGTCAGCAGTCGGGTCTCGTAGCTCAGTTCGTAGAGCACCGGGCCGGTAACCCGGTGATCTCTGGTTCTAATCTTACTGCGACCTAAGTTTTTTTTTAACCTTCAATCATCACCTAGTATCAGTACTAATCTGTAAAACCACGGCTATCTCTGATAGTCAAAAAGATAATTTAATATATTTATTTATTGTCTTCTCTGAGGATTGACATATAGAGAGGTGCGGATGCAGATGATGCTTGTCATTGGGTGAAATACTTTTATGCAGCTATCTACAAGAGTTCAAATACCTATCCATAACCGCATTTATCAATACTGTTATTGGTGTGTCACTTGCTTTACTACCAGCCTTAAAAATTCTACGCATTACAGCGTAGTCTATTTTCTGGAGATCAGGAAAGAATAAGGGGGAACCTATAAGTAAGTATGGGCAAAGCACAAAAATTAACTAGATGTTAGAGTAGAGAATGAGTTATGCCAGACAGCCTGAGTTTCCTTATATAAAACAGTCAAGCGAAGGATTTTCATGAAAATTATTAGAATATGAGGGGGCTGGGCATGAGTCAAAACCGATTTTAACAAAGTGCTGGGCTAATACCATCGAAGAATGACAGATAATTCTTCTCGCATCCACAGCTGTTCAGTGTTGTATTTTGAATGGGTGCATTATTGCATCAAGTTGTTGATAAGTTTGCTTAATTTACTTAGCTTTCCTTTTTACTACTGGGGTGATGTATAGCATGGAAATGCTGTTTATTGCATTACACAGTTTCCAAATATGGCGATGAAATACTGAACACATCAATCCTTCTTATTCGTCAGCTGCGTTGGCTGAATTTCTCTTGAATCTAAGAAAGAGTATCTATAGAACTTAGATGGTTGGGTGTTATTGTGATCTTTGTAACAATCGGACTCCTATGTTGAAAAATGTTTTTTACGGATGGCTAACTATAAGGTGAGAATCGAGCTTACTGACACCTCGGTAGCTTTCTCCTAACTTTTTTTCTTATTCACTGTATTGTATTACGACCGTAGACATTAGGGTATTGATTTTCACTTTGGTTACCCACCACACCTTTTCAGTCTATCAATAAACCATGGGGTATGGACTCATAAATTCACTACTATTACAATTCATCCATCTTTACCGCTGCTGCATCGTATGGAATGGGTATCTAGTATTTTAATAAATTGATAACTTTAATTTGGGGGTTTGTGGGGATTCAGTTATTTTTCAAGTTGGTATTTACCATGGACTGACATCAGTTGGAGGGACATTGAAAACCCAGGAGCACTGGACAGCTGTTTCGTCCTAGTATGGGACTACTCCTCAGTGGTGTGCACTCTTGACCCCACCACGCCAGGGATCGAACCCATGACCCTCAAGTTCCCTGGCCTGCATGTTATCATCAAGCCACCGGGTTGAAATCCAGTGGTAACATGCAGGCCACGGAACCTGGAGGTCTTGGGTTCGATCCCTGGCGTGGTAGGGTAAAAGGTGCACACTGCTGGGGAGTAGTCCCATACTAGTACGAAACAACTGTTCAGTGCTCCTAGGTTTCCAACGTTTCTCCAACTGATGTCAGTCCATGATGAATACCAACTTGAAAAATCACTAAATCCCCATAAACCCCCAAATTAAATTGATCTAGCGCTCATTGCTGACTAGCTTCGAGAGGTGATTCCTGAAATTCCAAAGAGAAGTTGTGACTGGTTGGACAAATTCGGTGACCGTGAGGACAAACACTCAACGATGACATTGGGCGATGGTCCTGCTATATCATTAACTGACAGAGGTTGGAAATATGGACCATTGGATTCTGACCCAGTGACTCAATGGTACCGTTCTGGCCACGGAACCTGAGGTTCCTGGTTCTATCCCTGGTTTGATAGGGTCAAGAGTGTGTCCCATACCAGGACGACATAGCTGTCCAGTGCTCCTAGATTTCCAATGTTCTTCCAATTGATGTCAGTCCATGATGAGTAACAACTTAAGGAATTAATAACTGCTGAATGTATGTATAATATCTTTTGCACTCCTTCCTTCTGCATATTTATACGCTTCAGAGATACATCTACTAATGGAGATGTATCTAGCCCCTACTGTTTAACTGGCTGATTTTGACAAACTAGTGAAACATCCATGACCACATAATACATCTTGTTTAATGATAGTGTTTATTCATGATATTATGTTATGCTACTTCAAGATTGAATTTTATACAGTTAAAAATTGAGAGATTGATTCATTTGTCTAGTCAGGCTTTAATTACTCTCCAAGTGAACATGAATCAAGTTAGTTTCATTCGACTGTTTACTTTCCAATTTCTAAGTAATTTAAAGGTATTCTCATTTTTTTTTGGTACTGGCACTGGATTGTTTCCTCAGTATCACTTGATCACAGTGCTTTTTTCATGCTTAACTTGAAAAAAATTGGTTATCTTTATGCGCCTTTCATTTTCAATCTCAGTTGTTCAATACATTGTGAGGCATGCATTATGACCTGGTAGTTCACAATGAGCCATTTGGAAATCACACCGATTCTTCTGATGGAAGGGATTGTGCATTACTTATTTTGGAGTAATTTGTAAAGTGACACTGGGAATCTATCTCCTATATTGAGTAATATCTTATTATAAATAAATCCTATTAATTCAATTCGATAGGATGATTAGTATCGTTTTGCAAAATATTTGAAAAAATATCTTTGGATAAGATAATTCAATGACCTAGAGTTTTTACTGATGTCTAAAGGTAGGGAACATTTGACACTTAGCAACTAATATATTATTATTATCTTTCCCTTGGGTTCCTAGTGGAACATAGGGCTTCAGTAGCACGGCTGCATTGCACTCTCTTCTCTGCAGTCTTTTCAACCTGGCGCCACGACTGCCCACAAGCTTTCATTTCTTCCTCACATGATCCCCTTCATGTCACCCTCACCTCGGACGCCCAATTCGTCGTTTTTCCTTTGGATTCCACTTGAGGGCCTGTCGCGTGATGTCCCCAGTCAGCCTTCTCAGTGTATATCCAATCCAATCCACCTCCACTTTCTTCTTCTGCCCATTCGTTAGGCAATTAATATATACACATTAAATTATGTTAATCGTTTTCTGTTTTACTAAAGTTTTTTCGGGATTCATGACATTTCCTTGTATAATTAGTATTCAGTTAGGTTATGTTATCTTTGATTACATGTATTTACATTATCTTCATTGTAGCCTAACTGTTATGCAAAAATAATAATGGTTGAAAGTAAGAAGAAGATTGTCATCTATTCAAAGAGAGATATTAACGTTATGGAGGAGATTACATATGATTATAAATTTCCTTATGAGGAAGAGAAAATTCCATGCCAATGTGGATCATCTTCATGCCGTGGAACACTTAATTAACTGGTCTTTTATCAGAATTATAATATGTATATACTTCTATATATAGTTCTGTAAGTAATTGATTCATTCTTTCCAAAACTTTTGTGTTTCTTGAAAAGTAGTAGGTTTAATTTTCCAAAAAGATGTTTGTTTTTCCTGTATATACTTTGTTTCTTTACTTTTCAGGGTGTTTGCTTTATGATTGAACTATTTTCTTTTCCAAATGCTTTTAATTCCTTATTTCAATAAATTTATGTACCAGATTTGTTTGTAAAAGATCACTTTTATTCCCAACACTTCAGGCAGACTTATGTGCCTTTGTTAACTTCTTTATTTATTCCTCATAAGGCTGTGTTTGTTTGTTTATCCTGCTCTGTACATCATGTCATTTTCTGTGTTCTAACGAAACGGTTCACTCGAAGAAGATGTAAGAATAAGTGTGTTTCGATTTTTCACAAGTTGCCGATCGTAAAATTTATTTCAAACGAAAGCACTTACTAGGCGAGGTTACTTACTAGGTAATTGGAGTATTTTTTTCTCATAGAAACTCGTTTTTGATCCACTCAGTTGTTTATGAACTTCATAAACACTTCTTGTTTTAGAGTGCACACTTCTCACAGTTGTCTAATTAACTGGGTCACCTACTCTCCACCTATTGGTTATCTGATGTAACCGTACTCAATTCGGTTGCGTTTGCAAAGCAATTACAAAACACTTGATGGTGTACAAAGTGTGGTGATGATGGGAACAGTTGTTATTCCTTCCACGAGTTTTTATTCCCAACATCTTTATCAACTAGCTTTGTCCATTCTTTTGGTAAAATAATCGACAGAAGTGTGTATATTTCCTGTTTGTGTATGCATCCGGAATAAGCAGGATTTTATGGTTCATTTTCATGTTGAACAAATCCCCATTTACTTTTGTTCTCCTAAGTACCCCATAATAAAGGACTACCGCTGGGAAGGTTTGCTAATTGCTGTACATCTGACACCAATTTAATTTAGTTTTCAGAATTAAGGATAATAGGTCAATGACCTATATTAATCTATACTGTTGGTTCTACTGTGTAGATCCACTCTCATTTTGCAAGTATGAACAGAAGGTGAAGACACTGTTCTTCCTACTAAAAAGTTTCATTAGCTTACAACTTTGTGTAAGAAATGTATTTTCACATGTGGACGATTTCACTGTTTTATGGATATCAACAGTTACAAAAGAGAGGGATAAATGAGATAACAGAGAAAGTTCTTCATCATTCAAGTTATGTGTTAAGATGAGATCAGCTCTCATTCTACGGTAAAGCAATGGGAAAAGACCTTATTGATCCAGTTTTTCTTCGGAAGAGAGGTTGGTTTGCGTTGTGATCACCTTAGTTACTGTTTTCTAGACTTTCTCTGTTATGTCAGTTTCATATTTGTTACACGGACTCGGTGTTCTAATCCTATGCTGCAAATAAGGTCGTGCCTAAGACCTGCAATATATTCTCATCAAAGTTCCGAAAGACCTTTCTTGATGACAGAGATTCGAAAGTATTTGGTAGGTACCATTCTGCAGCTTGCTGATACTTAGGGATCATGTATAACTATGATACCAAAGTCCCTGTATTCAGCTACTTTGGGTGATAGCATGTCGTTAATCAAGCAGTCATACGAACGGATAATGATGATCTACATGACTTCGCTGTTAGTCGTTGACCAATCTACTAGAGCACTTCAGTTGTACTGCAGAAGCAGCTTGTCCTCGTCACCGTGAATAATCTCCAGAGTTAAACATCGTCTGTAAACGTGGAGATGGAAGATCTAGTTGTCTTGGTTATGTCGTTCCCTTAGAGTAGGAAGAGAAGTGAACCTTAAGGCACAGCTGCTTAATCCATTTACCCTTAATCTCTGTCGTCTATTGCGAATAAAATTCTTGACCCAGTTCCTAATGATATGACTTCCAGCTTCGTATTTAGGCCTAGGTGAGAGACCCTGTTGAAAGCTCTGCTGAAGTATGTGAGTATTATATCTATTGGGAAGTTCATATCGTTGTCGACAACCTAACCCTCTCTTGCAGTGATGATATTTGTTGAGCACGAATGGCTGTTTCCAAGCCCATGCTGTTCCATAGCTAAAAGTCTGTTTTCCTTGATACTTAGTAGATCGGTACTGAGGATGGTCTTTTTGAAAAGCTCAGCTGGTAAGTAGATGAGAGTTAGCCACTAGATGTCAATGGGTTTTTTTTAGACTGGTCTGATGGCGATATCCTTCCCATCCTCGGGTGGTTTTGATTGATTTATGAAGTAGGTGTTTGATGATGATATTTGCTAGTGCTGATAACATGCATAAGTGTTACTCATCTGGAAGACAGGACTTGGGCGTATTGAGTGTCTGGAGTAGTTTTAAGGTGACCACCTTTTCATTGAGCATTGGTTTTATTCATCGGATTTCGGCAGTGCGAGCGTTTTATTGGCACTGAGAGAATAATCCCCGAAGTGATGTGATACAGCCTCTTTTTAATCATATTATTATCAGCTACGTGAGTTAAATCTTCACCCAGCTCGAGGGTTGTGATGCTTTTGTTCCTCTTACTTCTCCTAATGTTAGTGTCTAACCTTTTATGTTAGTATTTGGAGTCCTGGAAGATTTCCATCTCGTGTGTTACCTAGATTTCCTAATTCGTTTTTTACAAGAATTTCTGACTGCACAATACTTTAGTCTAAACTGATAAAGAAATCCCAGTCGTTTTTTCCTACGGAGTGATTTTTCAGCGTGCCTAGTTATCCACGGAAAACTGTTAGTGGATCCATACTGAACTGACCAAATTATGTGACAGCATAACGAATTCCAGTGTTGTTAAACTTTCTCAACGCATCGTCAATAGACATTACACCAGTTGACCAGTCTACCAATAAAGTATGTTCACTTACAGCCGTTTTGTTCGCCTGCAAACTTTCGTATATCCTAGTGACTGAATTGGCATTTATTTGGTTGAATTTATTCCCACCTGGAACCAAACTAGGAGAGTACTGCAGTTTGTTCACCGTTCCATGTGTTATCTCATGGTTTTTTTGACCTTTCAATGCTGAACATAAAAATTTTTGGCTTACGTTTCGACTGATGACGATAACACATCTTCACTAGCGAGATAGTTATACTATGGTTTTTATGCGAAGACGTGCATTTTAAGAATAAAGTTCTGTGGGTTTGTGTTTAGAATATAGAAGTACCAGCTGAGTATTACTGGATTTCACTGCAAGATGAATCGAGTATGTAGAATTGGACAGGTTATGTGGTATCGAAACACTGTCAGAGCTGGAGGGAAAATAGTAACTTATTTTACTTCAGTAAGTCACCGATGCAACAATTCGTAGTTACGTGTTAGTTACTGTACTTTGGACAACTGCTTTCACACAGCCTAATAAAAGAGGTATCAGCAGAATTGTTATAGGGGATTTTGGATTCAGTGATTTCGTAGCGGTGAAAAGATAATAATATGAACGTCTTCATGATAATCTGACCAGGCTTAATGATTGTGTTTCTTTAGAAAAAAGTAAAATCATATTGCCTTTACCACAATATTTGTCGTTAGTGAACTGATTCCAGTGGTAATCCACTCGGACTTGTCTTCTGATTGTACTTAATCTTTGGATAATTCATCATCAGTCAACTTCCACGATTTAAAGACAGGAACTCAGAGTTGAGGTACAGTTCATCTAATTGCTTTCGGGTGATTTAAAGAGTAGTATTGATCTGTCTTCGGAGTTATCTTAAAGGGATTGCATCATATAAAAGATTTTTAGGCTTCTGCATTGCTGTCACCAGCGAACTAATCGCATTGCATTTTTGGGTATTATTTGTGGTCAGGGTGTGAACTTGATAGATCACCGGCACAGAAATATACAGATTATTGAAGAAATGATGGACATGTAACTAATCAATTTGAGCATTTTATTTTAGGTGTTGGATCTTACTTCAGCTCTGGCCTGGGTAGTATCAGGTGTCCTCACACAAGTGCTGCTCACAGCCTACCATGTATATATTTGTCCTGGGTTGATTTGTATCAATTATCTAAAATGGTGCATATTACCTGACTGCTATACTCTAAGGTCAGAAAGTAGTGTTTCTGTCCTTCAACATTATTCAGCTTCTGTGCAAGTTCTTAATCTTGACCACTGGAACAAAACAAGAATTAAGAAGCAGGTGTGCGAAACAGTTAACAGCTAGTAATGAAACCCATTTTCAGATATTGTGATAGAATCATGTCAGTATGTTGAGTTGAGTGAAGATACAGTTTTATGCGACATATTCGTAAGGCAAACATGTCCGGTAGTTCCGAGAAGACATTGACGCAACGTCTTCAGCACGCTAAAACCTATCTCATTCAGGTCTGCAGGCCAACACCAAACTTATCTCATAACGTTTCTGCCTTTCTGGGGGTGAAGAAAGACGTTAAGGAGTGGGATAGATCGTACTTAGCCTATCAAAAGTGTAAAATCACGTCGGACTTACTACTTTAAGAGCTCGTCTTACTTGAATTCGACAGATGTAAAGATCAGACGATAATTTTTCGTACTTGTAATCTACCCATGAGTGGGAGAACAAGGATGGGCACACTGAAGTTGCCAGGTGGGATAGTCTATTTAGTAAATCGTGTAAAGTATTAATGTGTTCCGTCTAATTGACTAGAGGATCGTTAATAAGCAGTGCAACGAAATGCTACAACATACTAAATGGCGTGGATGTTTGGATATGTGCCTTCAGACCGACTATTCCGGAAAGCCATGAAAGTCACAATCAGTGTTACAGAAGAAAATAACATCCCCTGGATTCCTTACAGACGCCTTGAAAAGCTTTCAAAACCAATCACATTACACTGAACATTTGTGGAAAAACATGTAATCATACGTGTGGGTTTTGTAATAGACTATGTCAATAGCAGTGAAGAAAGATATGGTTTTATCTTTCGCTGTCCTACTTTCAACAAAAAGACATCCTTAGGAACCTGATCATTCTTCAGAGGGTCTCATTTAGTTCCCCAACAAACAGTGATTTTAGAACTACATTGAGTTCTTGAAACCCCGTACATCAACAGAATCCCTAATAGATGCCAGTGAAGTTTCTTCAGTGCAGTGGCATCAGCGGGAAAGAACTATTTGCCTTGTAGTGCACCTTCCTGGCACCAAAATATAACTAGGGCTAAAATAAATAGTTTAAATTAAAT